TTCTGACAAGTAGTGGGGAAGCCAGATTCACTTAACCACCGTGTTACTAACTGTAACAGAGCGGCAGCGACTCCCTTAACAACTGTAGGAAGAAAGGTTGTAAAATGGGCCAAAATTCAAATTGTTTTGCTGAGTGACAGAAATTTTGGGCTCAATTGTGGTTGAAAGTCGAGCGTTACCTATAGTTTGGAGTGCAGCATTTGGCATTCCCAGCAAGGGGAGGTATTGTTTATGTATGTATGTATGTATGTATGTATGTATGTAGGTAGGTCTTTGGTTGTTCAGGTTTTCTCCTGCGTAAAATTGGAAGTGTCTTGGCGACGTTTCGACGAAGTCCCATTCGTCGAAACGTCGCCAAGACACTTCCAATTTTACGCGGGAGAAAACCCGAACAGAAGCACGAAGCCGAAAACACCAGCCTGAGGATGACGAATGGGACTTCGTCGAAACGTCGCCAAGACACTTCCAATTTTACACGGGAGAAAACCCGAACAACCAAAGACCTACATACAAACACCCGCAAAAACCTCAGGATATGTGTGTGTGTGTGTGTGTGTACAAATAAAAATATGACTCTTGGGTATATCCATATTAAAAACCAATAAATAGTCGATCACCAAGAGAATAAAATGGAAAATTTATTTACTGAACCTAGCTTTCGTCGGAGACTCCCGACATCGTCAGGGTTAAAAGTAGTCGTTAAGAAGAAGCTTATATACAATCACAAATTGCCTGCATCCGGCTTCTAGAACGTGTCACGGGTCCCAGCTGAACATGCTGTGTTCTAAGTGTATCTCTTGCGTCAAAATGCAGTTCTTTCCTGTTCCTTCTCTGGGCTCCATCGTGTACGTCTCCTTCGCTAACCATAACCTTCCACTTCCCTCACAGGTGGTGGCTATCCTTCTCACCGCCCTCCTGCCCACGGTTCTGCTTGATGGGGGGGGGCGGGTATGTGCTTTATCCCGTTTTCTCCCAGTCCCTCCATCGGTCTACAGTCGCAAAAGGTGAGGGGATTTGACCATAGCTCGGCTGAGACAGATGGAGGGATTGGGAGAAAATGGGAGAAAGCACATACAACCCCCCCAGCAAGCAGAACCGTGGGCAGGAGGGCGGTGAGAAGGAGATAGCCACCACCCATGAGGGAAGTGGAAGGATTCCGTTTAACCCTATGGTCAGCGAAGGAGACGTACACGATGGAGCCCAGAGAAGGAACAGGAAAGAACCGCACTTTGACGCAAGAGATACACTTAGAACACAGCATGTTCAGCTGGGACCCATGACACGTTCTAGAAGCCGGATGCAGGCACTTAGTGATTGTATATGAGCTTCTTCCTAACGACCGCTTTTAACCCTGATGATGTCGGGCGTCCCCGCCGAACGCATACACAAAGAAACCTAGTTTCTCCGTTTTCCTTAGAGCTGATTGACTCCACGGACAAACTGTTTGAGATGGAAGAAGAGTTTGAGATCCTGAGCGTGTGAAGGCAACCTGGCCCGCAGTCCGGGACGGGAGTAAAACCACAGAGCCTTTCTTAGCCTGAAGTGCCTGCCTGTGAAAAGACACAAGACCTCAGGAGAACAGTTCCCCCCCCCCAAAAGCACTTCTTGAGAAGGCCTGGCTCCCCATCCCGCTTCTCCGCAAGGGAAGAACCTTGTCTGAAGACATGCTCTTGGGAAACCCGAAAGCAAAAACGGGCTTGGCGTATGGCCAGCGTCAACGATGGCTGGATGGTTAATTATAATGCAATAGCTTTGCTCACGCTGAAAGCACGGCGTGCAGGAGTGCGTTCACCTCTCGTTCCTTCACGTGGACAATTTTTTTTTTAAGCAGTAAATGTCATCGCCTTGTTTTTCTTTTCTTTCTCTTTTCTTTTTTCTCAACGATTCACCCGATCGGGCGAAACCAATGCTTTTATTCAATATCTTCACATTTCTTGGCACTGCACTTCGGAAAAAAAACAAAACCCAAAGTGTTTTTTTTATGGAAGGACACGTATGCTATGTGCAATTTTACACACAAAAAACCCCCATATTTCTCATTTCTAGGAAAATACATGAATAAGCAGAGGACCGTGAAGCAACCGTTCAACTCCTCCCCTGTTCTGTCTCTTTATAATTATGACGGCCCTTCTTCACTTTGGCTTTAACTTCAAATCATTATTAAACCTTTTGCTCCCGAGTAAAAGACAAAACACGTTTTTTGTTTCAACTGTATTATTTATTTTAAATTAAACATTGACATGTTTCCCCTTGTTAAGAGCACTTTCTTTGTGCTTCTCATTTTTTAACTGTTGAATAGGTTGGATGCCAGTTTGGGGAGTAGTGGTGGTGGGGGAGTTGTACCTTTTTAAGAAACAGAGAAGGACATTTATCAAAATAAAAGCGGTTGACCTCCGTTTTCTGATTGTTTACCACCCCGATGGGGTCATGTATACTTAATGTTTGCTGCACACCGTGTAGCAACATAGGTAACAACCATTACTACGCTGGCAGATTTAAAATACTGTATTGGCGAATGTCATTGCCCGATGCAAAACTAAATGATTCATTGGTGGAATTTGCATTTACAGGTAACCTCACAAACGTTTGTTTAGTGATCGTTCCAAGTTACAGCGGCACTGAAAAAAGGGACTTACAACAGCCCTCACATTTTCAACCATTGCACCATCCTCAAGGTCACCCACTCAGAATGTGGCCACTTGGCAACCAGCATGGACATGTGATAGCTGCAGCATCCCAGGGTCAAGGGATCTCCAGCCTTCCTTGGGTGTCTTCTGATAAGTCAATAGGGCAAACTGGATTCCATTAACAACCAGGTGATTCACTGAACTGCAATGATTTGCTTAACGGTAGCATTGTTGTTAGTTGCGAAGTCATGTCCGACAATGTTCCTCCAGGCCTTCCTGTCCTCTAGCATCTTCTGGAGTCCATTTAAGTTCACGCCTCCTGCTTCAGGGACTCCATCCAGCCACCTCATTCTCTGTCGTCCCGTTCTTCTATTGCCCTCCATCTTTCCCAGCATCAGGCCCTTCTCCAGTGAGTCCTTCCTTCTCATTAGGTGGCCAAAGTCCTTGAGTTTCAACTTCAGGATCTGGCCTTCTAAAGAGCAGTTGGGGTTGATCTCTTCAAGACTGACCGGTTTGAATGCCTTGCAGTCCAAGGGACTCGCAGGAGTCTTCTCCAGCACCATAGTTCAAAGGCCTCAATTCTTTGGCGCTCAGCCTTTCTTATGGTCCCAACTTTCACAGCCATACATTGCAACTGGGAGAACCATGACCTTGACTATACGTACTTTTGTTGGCAGGGTGATGTCTCTGCTTTTTGGTATGCTGTCTAGATTTGCCATAGCTTTCCTCCCCAGGAGCAAGTGTCTTTTAATTTCTTGGCTGCAGTCCCCATCTGAGGTGATCTTGGAGCCCAGGAAGATAAAATCTGTCACTACCTCCATTTCTTCCCCATCTATTTGCCAGGAATTGAGAGGGCCGGATGCCATGATCTTGGTTTTCTTAATGTTGAGTTTCAAGCCTACTTTTGCACTCTCTTTCTTCACCCGCTTCAAGAGGCTCTTTAGTTTCTCTTCACTTTCTGCCATTAGAGTGGTATCATCTGCATATCTTAGGTTGTTGATATTTCTCCCGGCAATCTTAATTTTGATTCATAAAAACGGTGGCATAAAAACAGTCATAAAATCAGGCACAGCTTACTTAACCGCCCCCTTAGCAAAAAAAATTCTGGTCCCAACTGTGGTTGTAAGTTGAGAACCATTTGTATTCTTCAGCCTTAGTGCGGTGCATGGGTATTTGACCCGCTACACCTTTAAATCTCTGCGGCATTTTGCACAACTGCATCATCCCTCATGGCCATTTGTTTAGCTGGTCACTGTTCGAAGTTACAATGGTGCTGGAAAAAGTGACTTACTACCAACCCTCATGCCTCCGATGTTGCAGAGTTAACTGCAGCCACATGGTTGCAATACGGGCGCTTGGCAACCAGCATGTATTTACGATGGTTGCGGTGTCCTGGGGTCACATGATCACCATGATCAGTATCCAAGCAGTTTGTGACAAGCAAAATTAATGGGGGAAGCTGAATTCACCGTTGCAAAAAAAAAGTAGTAAAATTGGGCGTGAGTTAACAATTGCATTGCTTAGCAACAGAAAATCCAGAAACAAGTATGGTCATAAGCTGAGGACTTCCTCTACTTACAGAATATGGAACCTGCCAAGGTTTGCACAATTCTGTTGCGGTATGGGGTATCTTAACATACTTGTTTCTTTAAAACGGGCCTTCAAACATGGCCCTTTTATGACTTGTGGACTTCAGCTCGCAGAATTCCTCAGCCAGGCACGCTGGCTGAAGACTCCTGTTTTAAAAAAATAGTCAATATCGCCTGAATGTTTGGGAGGAATTAATATAACTGTGGGAGAAGGTAGCATTAGTAAAGCGTTATTCATGAGCTTTTAAAGACACGTTAAAGATACTCTAAAAAGGGGGAGTGGGGTTTAAAAAAACTACAGTATAGTTATGTGGATATTTTTTGTTCCCCATTTGATGCAACCCAAGAGAGAGAGAGGTTTAATTTGGAACAAAAAAAAAAAAATTGAATATGAACAACAACAACAAAAACCAGCAATGGCATCTGCTGATATATCCCCCCCTGTGTTGGCTTGATTGATACAGTCATTATGTAATACTGAGCCTCCACTCTTAAGCCCAATTTCTTTTTTAAGCATTCTAAAATTCCAAATATCTTCTGTGTGAAAATTGCTCTCTTGGCAAGTCCTGGAGGTTTTTAAGAGGATGCAAACAAACCTTTGCTGATGGTTTAATTGGTGTTTTTGGTCATTGAAGGTTAGACTACATGATCTTTGGGGGTCCTTTCCAACTCAATTCTATTTCGGTCTCCTAAGCTTAGTATAGGTTCACCTGACAATTCAACACAAGTTGAGTAACATGTCTGGAGAGAGTTACCAAGCTTATTGCAAGGAGAGAATGAAATATAACTCACAAAACGGACATCCTGTTTTACTACGTTTTAGGGGAAAAAAATAAGTCAAAATATAATCAGTGCTCTGAAGATACTTTCAGCAGTGCATTACAAAACGCAAGACTAGCAAAAATAAAATCAAGAAAACCATAATGTTGGCAGTTCATCCAAGTTCTACTCTGTTACATTTACATAAAAATAACCTATTTAATACTATATTATTTCAAGCACCAGCAATTCCAAGGCTACCTCAAAAAGTGTGAAATATTATTGTGGAAATGAAATCCATACATACAACTGAATCATCAATAGGTGACTTTTTCAACTTATATACAACTAGAGAACAAAGACAGTTGAAGTCACGATCTTTGAAACTTTTCATTAAAGATTAGTAACTGTGGCTCTAGCTTATACACCTACTGCAAATGGAGTAATATGTCTGTCATATAAACATGAAGGTCCTCTGCCAACATCTGTAATAGTGGATTATTCATGGATCAACATCTAATGGCTGTATAAAGTCCAAGAACATTTTTATAACGTCTGATATCAGTATGCTATTAAGGAATTAAGATGGTCTTAAAGGTGATTGATCTGACCCATTCTCCAGGTGGAAACAGATGGGCTGAGACTGTAAAAACAGCTTGTATAAAAAAGGACAAAACAGACATTAAAATGTAGAACCAAGGGAGTCAAAGAGTTAAGCAGGGTGGACACTACTCAAGGAAGTGAGCGAAGACACAGGTAGCAGATCACAACTTGACCGTGCAGTTGTGGACAAAGAAACATCAGAATTAAGCTGTGACAGAAATTAGAAAACATGCTAATTTACTAATCCATTCGTTCCTAGCTGGAATACCAGGATAATTTAGGAGATGTAAACCAAGCCTTTCCTATGTTCAGTATTCATAACAAGCAGAATTGTAGCTCAGATTGGCAGGAGATGCCCCTCAGACTTTTCTACATTTTTAACATAGTTTCCTTTAGTAAATCATGTAATACGTTCAGTTGCTTCCTAGTCCACAATAGTCAAGTCTGCATCTACCTTCGTTGAGTGAGCATATGTGCTGGACCTCTTTGCCATTCTCTTTTCTTTTCACTCCATCAGATCTAAAGAATTTTTGTTGGTTAATTAACCTTAGCTATGACCAAGCCAAGGGTTGATTGTTATCAGAGTGGAACACATTAACAATTTGCAACATTACCATACTTGAAGTACCTCGTTTCTCAGTCTGGATCAGTCATGGGATTGAGCCGGTTCACACCACTTCGGCAGAACCGGTAGCTAATTTTGTGTTGCCCAGGCCCAGAATGGACTTCCGGAAGTGGCATCCACACAGAGAACTGGTTGTTCACATATCTGAATCCCACCACTGGTCGGGATGCAACATGAAACTATGATTCATGAGCCCAGAAAGCATTCAGATGTCCCAGCATAGAAAGGACGCAGCTGTCTCATTGGATAAATTCAAGTTATACTTTGGCATCTGAGCCAAGATTTATCATGTTCGGGGGGGGGGGAAGTCTGTGAGTAGCATCACTGGATGCCACGAAAGAATGCTACTTGTGGCACATTAACAAATAAGCTGAGAGGGAAACGTTCGTAAGAAAACATTACACAGAGTAGTAACAGTGCTAGTACAGTGCTAGATTTAACATTCTTGGGCTGAATAATCAAGCAGGTGAAACCAAACTGCATTATCACCATAAAAAAATCCTCAGGTTGATGCTATGCCAAAAGATGCATATTATTATTCTTCTAATAAGCCTGCTCCTCATGTTACGGATGGAAAATCCCAATACTGTCCTCTCCTAACAAGTTTATTTTATTTTATTGTCACTTCACTGCTTAATAGCAGTGCTTTGATCAACATAGTTAACTATTTCACAAACCTGAACCTTCAAATCTGATCATACCACTGATCATAGAACAGAAACACTTCCGGACAGTATGTTATTCTTTAGGCCTAAAATAAGCAGTTAACTTAAGCTGAATATGAATGAGGAACATGGTTAGAAGAGGAGTGTGTGCATGCAGCCAAAAACATTTGTGAAAATCCTGACATGTCTTAAATCCTTAACATGGGAAGACCCTAACGATCATATGCTTGAGAAGAAATCTTTGCCCAAGATCCGCGTATCTTGTGAGAAAATCAGTTTAGTACATCAATGCCAAGGGATTGTGATAGTTGGGAAAGTAGAAAAAGACTTTGAGGTAGCCAGGAAGATAAAAACAAGGGGGAAAGATAGCACCATATTTTGATGGAGACGAGGAAGGCTCTGGAGAGATTTGGGAAAATGTCAATTGCCCAGCTAGGACACAAATGCTAATTTCTTGGTCTTAAAAGAAATAAGGTCTCGTGTCCGGGCCTTTGCTACAAATTTTTCATGCAGACTTGGCACCGTCCCACCCGTGTCTGGAGCTGACCCGCTTTCAGTGTTTCGGAGATGGGAGACTCAGCAAATTGATTGGTCGCCTCCACTGTGGTCAGCCAAAAACTGTACTTGTTGGAAAAGTAGTGGCACGTTCCTCGGGCACCGTTGCACTCAATGAACGGAGTGGCACGAAAGTCCTCCAGGCAGGATCCAGGGGAGACCAGGGACTGGCCACCGCCTTCGGCAGCCGTGTGCTGAAAGAAAGAACCAGCCAGAGACAAATGTTGGTGTGAAGAATCATATCAACCGCGCTCCAGGAGACCAGATGCAACCATCTGAGTCAACATTGCCCTACGAACGTCGGGTTTCTGAAGGGTGATAAATCAGGATGGGTGCCCCAGCTGACAGCAGGCAACTGGGTTTGAGAGTCACAGCTACATTTGAATCACTGGAGGTTTTCAAAAATAGACTGAGCCAACATTTGACCGGGATGGTATAAGGCAGTGGTTCTCAACCTTTTTAATGCTGCAACACCCAACCGGTCGTAAGTCGAGGACTACTCAACCGGTCGTAAGTCGAGGACTACTCAACTGGTCGTAAGTCGAGGACTACTCAACTGGTGCAGCACCATTTGCAGAATGGGACTTTTGGCGGGCTCAGTAGGGCAGAGACAGCCTGGACAATTCCTATTGGCTTTTGAAAGCCAATAGAATTAGACTCTATTCAAGAGAGTCTATTCTATTGGCTTTCAAAAGCCAATAGAATAAAAGGGAGTAGCACAGCTAAGGAAAAGGGGGAAAAAACGGCGGACTGCATTGTTTGGCAACCCCCGTGAAATGGTCATTCGACCCCAAATGGGGTCCCGACCCACAGGTTGAGAACCACTGGTATAAGGTCTCCTGCCTTGAGCAGGAAGTTGGAGTAGAAGACCTCCAAGATCCCGTTGAGCTCTAGGATTCTATGTTCTATATTCATACTAAATCTGCTGTGTGTTTTCTCAGCAATTAAAAACCTCATTGGGTGTCACCAAGCAGGCTAGGAAAGCTTAAAAAAATAAAGAATCCAATGAACATCAAAGCCCCTTTTTAAAATTTTTAACACAATGACCTCCCCCCCCAAATTAAAGCCACTGGAGTGCAATCTCAAAAGGCAACTAGCATTTTGGGGTGTGTGTGTGTTGTTTTTTTTGTTTGGAAATCTTTCACTTCTCATCCGAGAAGCTTCTTCGGTTCTGAAGAAGCTTCTTGAATGAGAAGTGAAATGTTTTCTGGGGGGGGGGGAACCCAAGAAAGTCCAGTTGTCTTTGGGACAACCATGATCTGGATGATTGAGAGTCTCCATAGACACTAAACTGCAATCCATTTTGGGTGATAGGATGAGCAAGGGGCTCACGTGGCCCTTCAGTGGCAACCGGGAAGAATCACTTGGTGGCCCTGAAGATCACCCAGCTAGACATGCCTCCAGAAGTTGTGAATGCTCCAACAAGTTTTTTAAAGAAGAGATTGGACAACCATTGGTCTGAAATTGTACAGGGTTTCCTGCCTGACCAGTGGGTTGGACTAGAACAGAGGTCCCCAACCTTTTGGGGCACCAGGGACCGGTTCCATGGAAAGAGGTTTTTCCGCGGACCGGAGGGTGCATGGTTTTGTGCGCTGCCTGCATCCCACGGATGGGGCTTTGCTTGTTTGTGCGGACCGGTTGCTGGCATGCCATAGTCCGGTACCAGTCCATAGACTGGGGGTTGGGGACCCCTGGATTAAAAGACCTCCAAGGTCCCTTTCAACTCTTGTTATTCTATTCTATCCTAACATGAGCATGGATAGGTGCTCTGTGTATGTGCCCCGAAAGGACGTGCATTCCCACGCATGGCGGTCCCTCTGGGGATGTCTTACCATGAGGAAGGAGTACCCAATCCAGAGACTGCGCCAGCCTTCAGGGCATTGTGGGATGGTGATGTCCTGGCTGTGGACAGCCACAGCTTGGGACGGTGCTTCGCACACTGAGCAGCGACTGATGTACTGGGCGATTTGGTAGCTGCTGACGGGCATCATGGGTATCGGAGCCGTGGTGGAAAGCCAATATGATTTATCATTGCGGCTGGCGTAGTAGCACACTTCGTCGATGTTGCAATAAATAAAAGGCATCGTGCTGAAGCGAGGCAGGCAGGAGCCAGCAAAACCTTAGAGGGGTTAAGAAGAAGTGGAGACGCAAAGCATGGCATGGAGCCTCAAAAGGGACTCTCATTTCTGCAGCTGTGGCTGCAGGAGTACAGAGAGCTCCACATTTTGGTTGCTAAGGAAGGGAGTTGTTAAGGGAGTTTTGCCCCATTTTATGACCTCAGTTATTAAGCGAATAGCTTAATATAGTTGTTAAGTAAAACATGGTTGTTAAACATATCTGGCTTCCACTATTGATTTTGTCTGTCAGAAGCCAGCTGGGAAGGTGACAAATGGTGATCACATGGCCTTGGGACAGCGGAGCTGTCATGAATACATGCCAGTTGCCAAGTGCCTGAATTTTGATCACGTGACCACGGGGATGCTACAAGGGTCGTTAAGTGTGAAAAATGGCCCTATGTCACTTCTTTCAGTGCCGCTGCAACTTCGAATATTCACTAAACAAACGATTGCAAGTCAAGGGCTACCTGTAAGCGTGGCATGCTCAGAAGCCAGCTGCCTGAAAAAATCTCAGTTCCTTGACCTATGAGCATAATTGGAACTGGGAATTGGGGAAGCAGCCCTCGTAACTTTAAGGCTGGGTTGTAAATCGGTTATAACTTTGAACAGTTGCTAAATGACCGGTTGTAAGTCTTTCAGATTGCATAATGCTTAATTCTTTAGCTAGAGTCTAGGCCAGGGGTAGGCAACCTGGGCTCTTTTATGACTGGTGGACTAGCCGTGCTGAGGGGAAAGGGAGAGGTTTCCAAGCTGAGCCAGGCTGGCTCAGGAATTCTGGGAGTTGAAGTCCACGAGTCATAAAAGAGCCAAGGTGGCCTATCCCTGGCTTAGGCCAAGAGTGTCAAACTCGCAACGTCACTTGACGTGTTGCGACGTATCGCAACTTCTTTTCCATTGCCGGCAATGGGGTGGGCACGGTTTCGGCATGATGCATCCGGCCCGCGGGCTGGCAGTTTGACACCCCTAAGCTAGACTGTATTGGGCCATAGAGACAAACAAATTCTGGGCTATAAATAACATATTAATTGGACTTCCTTTCTTTCCCTCTCTCCTTTCCTTTCCTTTGCTCTTCCTTCCCCCTTCCTCCTCTCCCTTTCCTTTTCTCTTTCTTTCCCCTTCCTCCTCTCCCTTTCCTTCCCTTCCCTTCCTCCTTTCCTCTCCTCTTCCTTGCCCTTCCCCTCCTCCTCCCCTCCCCTTCCTTCCCCTTCCCTTCCCGATATAAAATCTCTTTAATGAATGGAGGGATTCTTTCCTGTCCTCTTATTTTCCTATTACTTTCCCGTTGTTGTTTTTTTCCCCAGTCCGGACACATTACTTACCCAGATCTTGATTGTGGGACTTGTCCTGGCCTTTCACATAGAGCAAACTGTAACCTTCCCAGAGTTTGTTCATGCCCACTGGACAGGGAGGAATCTGCTCTGACTGGCTATGTTTCACCAAGGTATAGCCCACTGCAACGCTACGCCCTGGCATCCCGGGCAGCCCAGCCAGACCTGGATTCCCAGGACGTCCTGTGAAGAGAAAGAGGAGATTGCCATGCAGACCGTGATTGGTTTCTAGGAGTTGAGGTCCACAAGTCTTAAAAGTGGCCAAGGTTGAGGACCCCTGTTCTATGAAGATTAACCTTTCTGGCATATACACACCAGCAGCGCTCCACACATCGTATCAGTCATTGTTATCTTACAGTTTTTATAGCACTTCAAGTTGGAAGAAGCTAATACACGTAAGCTTACCTTCAAATCCTGGTAGCCCCACAGTTCCTGGAGAACCTGGGTCTCCTACCATCCCAGGAGAACCTGGTAAGCCATTGATGCCCACCTGGCCAGGTATGCCTCCCTTTCCTTTTGGACCTGGTCATTAATAAAAAAAAATTGTCCCATTCATTTCTGATAACCCATTCCATTCACAAGAGACAGATACCCTTAAGAACAAGAGCGGTTTATCTTTGCTTGGAATTAGTCTAGTCTAATGAAGAGAAAGACTAGGAGTGACATGACAGCAGTCTTCCAATATCTCAGGGGCTGCCTATCAATAGTTTGTAAATAGAAAATATTTAATATTATAAGATATTATAATGCCTTGGTAAGGCCACACTTGGAATATTGCATCCAGAAAAACAGCTGAGACTCTAGAAAGAGTGCAGAGAAGAGCAACAAACATGATTAGGAGACTGGAGGCTAAAACATATAAGGAACGGTTGCTGGAATTGGGTATGTCTAGTTTAATGATGAGAACGACAAGGGGGGACATGATAGCAGTCTTCCAATATCTCAGGGGCTGCCCCAAAGAAGAGGGAGTCAAGCTATTCTCCAAAACACCTGAAGGCAGGACAAGAAACAATGGATGGAAACTAATCAAGGAAAGAACCAACCTAGAACTAAGGAGACACTTCCTGAGTTAGAACAATTAATAAGTGCATCGGTGTGCCTCTAGAAGTTGTGGATGTTCCATCGCTGGAGGATTTTAAGAAGGGATTGGACAATCAGTTGTTTGAAATGGTAAAGATTCTCCTGCTTGAGCAGGAAGTTGGACTAGAAGACCTCCAGGGCCTCTTCCAACTCTGTTAGTCTATAATTCTGCTTTTACACAGAATAAAAATAAAAAACTTAAGATCTGATTATGGTTTCTCTTAGAAGCTAGTATTCAAAGTATCCTACTTACAAAATTTAAGAGAACATTTTTTATAAAATGTTTTATAGATGGCATCTGGATCCTAAAAAGTTGTCTTGTATGTATCCTAATTTACAACCCAAATGTTGGAGATGTGGTAATTTGGATGCCACTTATTTCCATATAAGGTAGACTTGTAGAAATATAAAAGCCTTTTGGATTAAGATCTGGTGGAACATTCAACAGATTTTTAAGAGTAAAATAAAGTTTACCCCACAATTATTTTTATTGGGTGTTATTACAGATTGTGATGCTAAAGAAATTAATTTGATGTTGAACTTGATAACAGCTGCAAGGTTATTAGTAGGGCAATATTGGAAGAAGGATTGCTTGCCTACTATAGAAGAATGGATGCTTAAAGTGTCAAATTTAGCAGAAATGGCTAAGATTTCTGCTTATCTGAAGGATCATTTATAAGAAAGATATATTTCGGTCTGGAGAAGATGGATAAATTATATTCAGAATAAATATGGGACTAAAAAGTTTCATTTAGCCTATGAGTGAATTTTAGAGTATCATTATGATATTATTATTATTTTTAGTATTAACATTGTTTAACTATTTGGGGATTGTATTGCTTAATAATTAGGATATTAATTTGTTTATGTTCTCATTATTATTATGTTCCCTTTTAATTTGTTTATATTTATGTTAAAGGGGAGAGAGTGCATTATGGACTTGGTTATTTATATAGTTGGTTAATGTTATTTAGATTATGATTATTATATTTGTAACCCTGTATTCAGCTCTGGGAAGTGGGGGAGGGAGGGGGGGGTTGGGTGGGTTGATATTGTAATTTTTATAAAACTTTTTAATAAAAAAAAGGTATCCTACTTGAAGCCTGAAGGCCTTTGTAGTTAACCATGCGAAGATGGATCCTCCCAGGATTCTTTAGAGACCACCTTCTCCAAGGTCCCAGCTTTACATATGGGCAATGTAACTTTCCCAACTTTGCATACTATGCCCACTTCTCTGGACAGTGTAACGTATTTTACCTTGTGATCCAGTTTGCCCCTGGAAGCCAGGGTCTCCATTTAAACCAGGGTTCCCATCATTTCCGGGCAATCCCATTAAGCCAGGAGGAGCTCTGATATCTTCTGGTGTTTGGGTTAAGCCTGGAGATCCTTGCAGCCCAGGAAAACCTATATAGCGCAGAGGAAGCATGACTTGAAAAATGACATTCAAGGGATATCCTACCAATTTGGTTGTAAAATCCCCAAGGTCCTATTTTTCTGTCATTATTAGAGTGGACAATGCGCAACAATCATGCAACTGAATTGCTAACGTGTAGAACATTCCTCTTTCCCAATCATTCTTCTGGTCTTCAAGCTGCAGTTAAAGACGTCTCAACCTGGAGAATCCCACAACATCTTCAACTTTTTCAAAAAAGATTGTGGTTAAAAAAAAAAAGGACTCCAAAGTAGCCCAAGGATGCCTGACAAAGAAGAGAAATGTCCTATAAAATGGCATATCTACCTGTCTGGAACCCCAAATGTAGCACCCAGGGAAGCAGTGACCACTTTTGGACCACCACGTCCTCCTGAACTGATATAGCAAGCCAAGTTCCATAAATTCTGAACATTGGTAAATATCTCTACCATAACTTCCACTTCAAAGCAAACTTGAATTTGGGGTTCATCCTAGATTCTAGGATGATGTTAAGCCCGGTACACCTGGGCTAAAATTAGGGAAGCAAGAACTACAGTATAAAGATTTCAGTAAGGCATCCTGAATGCTCAACCTTTCCTGTTTTGAGTTGCTGTTTATGAGATACGGATTTTCAATTGCTGAATATCTGCTCTTTCTTCCATTCCTTGCCAGCTTCCTCATAACCTCTCATAAAGGGGTGCATAGCCAATCATCTGTCTGATGCTCATGCAGTAATCCTCAACTTACAACCATAATGGAGCCTGCCCATGACAGATGTAAATCATGACAGGTGTAAAGCAGGTCACCCAAACGGTCAACTCGACTTTACGACTTTATTTTTGCAGCAGTTGTAAAGTGAACGTGGAGACTGTAAAGCAAGCCAATTGTTTGCTACAGGCTGGTTTTGCTGAAAATTGGAAGCAAAGGATGGTTTTTGACAAAAATGTCATAAAACACGAGTCATGTGACTGTGGGATGCCCTAAACGCCTGTAAATGCATGCAGGCTGCCGAGAGCCTAAAATGTGGTCATGTGACTTAAGGGAACGAGGCCACTGAGATTCTGGAACCGGGGAGGTTAGTCATAACTTCAAAGGATTGCTATGTGATCAGTCGCAAATTGAGGACTACCTGTTTGGTTTGATCTGGAATTACGTGCATTTTCCAAGACTTACCTGGACGGCCTACTTTGCCTTTTGGCCCAGGGAAACCTGGATCACCCACTGGTCCATCTTTCCCGGGCATTCCCATGAAACCTGGGTCCCCTCTGAATCCTGAGAGAGAAAAGAGAAAGATCAGTGATGGGCTTCTAAATTAGGCGGGACTGAAAATTCATCACACATAGCAGCTTCTCCTGGTTTAGAATGGGGCTTTTCAACCTTTTCACCCATTGTACCACTTTTAGGATATGGCAACATCCGAGTACCACCAGTCGCCTAGCAAGTTGTTAAAAACCCGATGATCAAAAAAAAGGGAAAAAAGTGATGAAGTACAGGTAGTCCTCGACTTATAACAGTTTGCTTAGTGACTGTTTGAAGTTACAATGGCACTGAAAAAAGTGCCCCCCCCAAGCCACAGCCGAGCAAGACAGTGCCCGGCTGCGCTCTTCCTCCTGTCTGAGGTTTTCATTGATGTGAGCATTTCTGTTGAGGATTGGCAGCTGGGGTGGTGTGGTGTGGTGTTTGGTTTTTATTGCCCCCCATCTGCTGGGTGGTTGCAGCAGGTTTTGGTCACTTCACATGACCCTGGGACACTGTGACCGTCATAAATATGCATCAGTTGCCAAGCATCTGAATGTAAATCACCAGACTCTGGAGAGGCTGCAACATTCCAGCTGATCGGCATTTCTTCTGGGCTCAGCGGAAGCGCCAGGATCAGTGCTGCTTTCCAGCTGATTGGTGTTTCTTCTAGGCTCAGCAGAAGCACCAGGATCAGCGCCGAGTTCCAGCTGGAGCCTGGTGCTGATCCTGGCGCTTCCACTGAGCCCTGACAGCCCTGAAGAAGCACCAATCAGCTGGAAAGCGGCACTGATCCTGGCGCTTCTGCTGAGCCCCGACAGCCCTGCAGCTTCAGCCATCTCTCACTGCCACCGGTTCAGCTCATTCCCCTCCCCTGCTACCCTTTTCTAGGATGGTCGCATACCACCTGCCAGGTGCCAATGTACCACAGGTGATACCTGTACCACTGGTTGAAAAGCCCTGATTTAGAACACTTTGACAAACACTGAAGTTGCTTCGATATCCACCTTGCCAGGCTGCATGACAAAAAAAGGGGGACTTGTGCCCCTCCTCAAAACCTCAGTATGGATCCAATTTGGAGGCCTTTGAGGATAAATTCCCTTTTTACTACTCTTGTAATCCCTTAATTCAGGGTACAGTCAGAGCAATTGAATGGAGCTGAGCCCTTACTGGCTGGATGCCCTTCTTGAGTTTGCAGCAAATATTTTCTCTTTGCCCCAAGAAACATCTGCTGCTACATAGGATTAAACCATCATAATACCCATCAGACTCCAAACACCAAGAAAGATATACTGAAGTTCTTCTCAGTGGTGTCCTTTATTGTTTCTTGCCCATAGGCAAAACTTTGCCAAACGAAAGCAAACTACTTACACCATATATTAAACATATATTGTGAACACTTAGGGAGGAGCTGTCTTCACCCTCTTTCTCCCACACAAACTATCTAAACTTCATTGTCTCTTGCAGCCCCTCCCTCCTGGGAATCCAGACTATATTCCACCACATCTCCTCACCTTTGAAACCTGGTTCGCCAGGGGATCCACTAAATCCAGGGATGCCTGCATTGCCTTTGAGGCCTGAGAAGCCAGAAGGACCGGTGGGGCCTGGATCACCTCGATCACCTTGATTGAAGGCTGGGCCCGGTGGTCCTGGTGGCCCAGAAGGTCCTTGGAAGCCTGGACAAAGAAGAAGCCAAGGAGATGTTGTTGCCAGTTAGTCCTTGGTCTGCTATACAAGTAACCCTTATCTCATTCCAGCAGCTCCAAATTCTGAAATTGTGTCCATGGGTTGCCTAGGAAGTTGTTGAGAGGCCCCTTTAAAAATGATTGCAGGTAGTCCTCATTTAGCAACCGCCATTGGGAGTGGACACTTAGTCGCTAAGTGAAATTGTAACTGTGCTTATTATCTGGCTTCAGCTTTCCTTTGGATTACAAACCTGAGAAAGTCATAAATATGAGGACTGATCACAATGTCATTTTTTTCATTACTGTGAATGGTGGCTAAATGAGGCAGTTGCTAAAAGCAAGGATTACCCGTATTAAAAAGTCGATCTTCCAACATGGCCACTTTCATTTGATGTACGAAAAAACATCAGATGAAAAGTATCATTTGGCCCTTCAAAGAAGGCTAACGACAACAACAAGAACAACAACAACAAAACAGCTGGAGCATCACTTGAACACGACTGGCATTGGCAAAATCCCCCATCCGTCAATTGCAAAAGGCAGCTTTGCTTGGAGCAGCTTCTATCCTGGTGTTACTATCATCAGATATCCACACCTGCCTATCTCAGGCCCTTGGGAAGGACTTGATGGTGGATAAAACTGCCAAATGCAGTCTGAACATCTGGCTGATTGTGCAAACAGCCATAATAAAACCAACCAGCACAACGCATCACTTTATTTTGTATTTGGAGAAGGCATGAATTAAATTCCTGATGGGCTCAAACACCTGACAATCCATCCAAGCTCATTGAGAGCAGAAATGAGTGACTTCAAGAGATCTGGAATCACACACAAGCTGTGTTTCCCCAGCATGCTTGTCATTGAATTAAACCATGATTCTAGGTTTCAGCAATACATTGAATAAAACATTAACCTTGAGGCTTGGCTTTGTCCGTCAGGCTAAGCCACAGCTAACCAAGTTTAATATATCCTGGGAATGCAGGTGTTAGATTTGTAACATGTGATGCGACCCTTGTCATTATTTCTTGATCCAGCTTAATTTTTCCTTGCGTACTTTTTTCCGTAAGTAAATGAAAGTTATCTCTTTTTTAAAGTAGGGTTTCATTATTATTTTTTTGAACCAGAGTGTTGTTGTTCTTGTTATTAATTGCGAAGTCGTGTCCGACCCATCGCAACCCCGTGGACAATGTTCCTCCAGGTCTTCCTGTCCTCTACCATCTTCTGGAGTCCATTTAAGTTCACATCTACTGCTTCAGTGACTCCATCCAGCCATCTCATTCTCTGTCGTCCCCTTCTTCTATTGCCCTCAATCTTTCCCAGCATTAGGCCCTTCTCCAGTGAGTCCTTCCTTCTCATCAGGTGGCCAAAGTATTTGAGTTTCAACTTCAGGATCTGGCCTTCTAAAGAGCAGGGTGATGTCTCTGCTTTTTTAGTATGCTGTCTAGATTTGCCATAGCTTTCCTCCCCAGGAGCAAGCGTCTTTTAATTTCTTGGCTGCAGTCCCCATCTGAGGTGATCTTGGAGCCCAGAAAAATAAAATCTGTCACTACCTCCATTTCTTCCCCATCCATTTGAGTGTATTCAATCGTAAATAAATGACAATTGGCTGAATTTGCAACTACTCTAGACCATAAATCAGGGGTCTTCAAACGTGGCCCTTTGATGACTTTTGGACTTCAACTCCCAGAATTCTGATGAATTCTGGGAGTTGAAGTCTACAAGTCATCAAAGGGCCACGTTTGAAGACCCCTGCCATAAATCATGGACTTATTAGCCATAAGGGTTAGGTTTACACATGTTAAATCAAACCTGCACAAGGGATGCTACAACCAGTTTGTAAATGAGGTCTTCCTGTTAAAAAACCATCCCAAAGCTCTCTGCTTCCATACCTGGTCGCCCATCTTCTCCAGGATGTCCAGCGTCACCAGGTTTTCCAGGAAGGTCTGAAGGCAAAGAGATGCCAGGGGGGCCTCGCACACCAGTGGCACCTGGGCTCCCAGGAAGACCTAAAAGGACATCAACCAGGGGTCTGCAACCTAGACAACTTTAAGACTTGTGGACTTCAGCTCCCAGAATTCCTCAGCCCCAAGGTTGCAGACCCTTGACATAAACAAACGTTTCCCAGACTCTGTATTGCTTAGGAAAAAAGCCTGGAGGACAGAATGTACATTAATTGACTACACTTAAGGATGTAATAAGGTGAACGATCATGCTGGATTTGAAGCTTCTAATTCTGCTAAGACGAAAAGGCCAAAAACACACGGCAGACCCAGAAGATGGAGTGCCAACATCAAAGACACTCTATTGAAGTTGCCAGAAGTGCAAAGAACCAGAGCTTTCGACACCTGAAGTGGTAAAAGAGAAGGAAGAAAGAAGAAGGAAAAGAAGAGAAGAATTCTGCTAAGTATCAGCATCCTTGAAACAATCTCTCTCTCCCCCCCCCTCCCAAAAAAAAGGCAACCAAATACGAACTGGGCATACTCAGAGGAGTTACAAATGTTCAAGGTTTGGGAGGAAAATCTGGCACAGGGACAAGGAGAATGCAGAAGAAAACATGGCCAGATGGAACTCAGCAAAGATCTTGCATGCTCCTTAGTACAGCTTGTGAGCCTTCCTTTTCCATCAAAAGCCAGCTAGGGCTTCCACACTCACCCAAATATACCGTCCCAACAATTGTCCATTGTCTCAACAAGGGTTAAGTAGAGTTGGAGTAGATTGGAATTTAAGTGGGAGACTAAGAAGTTAAGTCCAGAGCTATAGGCTCGGCCAAAAATAGAAAGAGGGGGAAAAAAAAACAGAAGGCAGCCATGGAAGATCACATTTGCCAAGAAATCAACATGGATGTTATGACTGGGCATCAAGCCTGACCATTTTTACAAGATTAATTTTGCGACTGAATTTATCTGAGCCCTCAAAGGAAGATATTTTCCTGCATTCTCAGCACATTTAAAAATCTTTTTTTTATTTAAAAAGTTAATTGTTGAGGGGAAACTTCATTTTGGGTATAACAACCTTAGAAAATAATCTGATAGAATTAAATATTGAGTAATTGAATGTTAAATGCTTGGATTTATCATACTTGAGTGGAGTATTCCTTATAAAAGTCCCATAAGTTATGTGTGGCTTATTTTGCAGTGGAGAATAAAGGAGTCCTTTGGATATCTTCATGACAAGTTCAGAGGGAGGTAAGATATGAACCAGGGTCTTCTCAATCTTAATAATTCTTGACATCATTAATGATAATTTGAATGCTGCTACAGCTCTTGATGCTATTCAACTACAGTATTCCCTCTTGCAACTTCTATTATTTACCTATTTCTCCTGCAGGTCCTTTTGGTCCGCGAAGACCAGAAGCTCCAAAGTGGAAACTGGGTTCACCTCGTTGACCTTTGACCCCTGGAATTCCCGCCGGTCCAGGGAGTCCGGTTTCACTCAGGCCTAATAAATTGAGAAAAACCATGAACATCAGTTTGACCCAGCCCTTGTTTACTAGCAATTGGTAATACTTGATGGCTGAAATAAATCCCAGAGAACCAAATTGGCACGAAGTTGGAAAAGCATATTCCTGTTTCGGTAGCTATGATACCTCAGAATTTGGAAGCAAAATGGGAGAAAGCAAAATACGGCTTTTGGGAATCTGCAGGAAAAGGATTGGAAGGGCCCGAGGGCTTTAGATGCTTCTGCAGGGAGCAGCCAAATGCCAAAACATGGCTGATGACATCATCACACAAGAGTCTCAGTTCACATCATTTGTGGAATTCTTGGTGCTCTCCAAACTTGATTATTTGCTTGCAGATGTTTTGTTACCTAACAGATAACATCATCAGCGCCCGTCACTCAGCTTGATTAATTGACTTGCATTGATGAGGTTACCTAGCTGGGTAACGAAATGTCTACAAGCCAACAACCAAGCTCAGAAAGCACCAAGAACTCCACCGCTCAACGCTGAGCTACAGAGATTCTCTTCTATTGGAACCACACATTTGTGTCAGAGGTTGGACAAAATGGAAGCATTTCGAGGATGAAATTACTGCCATTTTGGGCCTTATTGTGGAAGCCTTCAAGGATGTCTCAATTTACCTTGTTTTCCAGGTGAACCTTTAGTGCCAGGTAAACCATTTAGGCCAGTCAGTCCTGGAAATCCTGGGTATCCTGTAGATACATTTTAGAAGGTTTGATGCTGCTGCTGCTGCTGTGTATTTGTTGTTTTAACTACTACAAGAACATGGCAGATGTTCGGCCAAGAGACCCGCATGGAAGCTTAAAAAAAAAGCTTTGTCTGAGGACAAAAATCAATTCAGTAACATAATACAGTACTAGATAATGTCAAGGTCACGCAAGAAGTTGAGAAATTCTGGACCACGGCTTGTCAAAGCAAGAAAGTGAAACAAAAATCTTGGAAGTAGAATCCTTTACAGTAGACTTCTTCATTAAAAAGACCCTATCCTCTAAGAGCCGAGGTGGCGCAGCAGTTAGAGTGCAGTACTGCAGGCCACTTTAGCTGACTGTGTTCAGCAGGTCAGCGGTTCAAATCTCACCGGCTCAAGGTTGACTCAGCCTTCCATCCTTCCGGGGTAGGTAAAATGAGGACCCAGATTGTTGGGGGCAATGTAAACATATATATACATTGCTTACTGATGTACACCGCTTAGAGAGTGCTTGCACTTAAAGCGGTATATAAGTCTCATAAAATAAATAAATAAATAAATGTCAGCCAAGACTCAACCCTCCAGGCCAGCGGTGTCCAAAGGTTGAATCGTGGCCATTGGACCAAACTTGGTTCATCTGAGACATTTCTTTGCTCCTCCGAGCAACTTCAGCAGAGACCCTGTTCTATATCCTCATCATGTAGGAATCCAGTTAATTGATCCTGAAGTAGGAATGGCCTGCTGGGATTGGCGAACCGAGGACACCTAGCCATCATCAATTGCGGATTTCTCCCTGACCTAACTGCTGTTAATAAGTGAAGGAAAAGTGAATTGGTCATTTTTCTTTCAGCGCGATGCCAAGAGTCTTTGCAAGATTTGGTTTGGTATTCCAAACCCATAATTTGAATTTCTGTCTAAAGCAGTGTTTCCCAAACTTGACAATTTTAAGGCGTGAGGACTTCAACTCCCAGAATTCCACAGCCAGTAATGCTGGCTGTGGAATTCTGGGAGTTGAAGTCCTCACGCCTTAAAATTGTCAAGTTTGGGAAACACTGGTCAAAAGTAAAGTTTTCAAGAACAACTCCAAAACGCAGCACAAACCTTTTGGTCCGGCAGGGCCAGGAGATCCAGGAGATCCAGGGAATCCTGGAGCTCCACGTTGCCCAGGATTCCCTGGAAAACCTGGGTTGCCTCTTACAGATCCAGGAAAGCCTAAAGGGGGGGGAAAAAAAAGAATTTACATTGGATTTAACGTGACATTCCAGTATATACATTCTTATCAGATTATTCCACTTTTTACAATCAATTCTTCATCTCTACATATACATCTACGTTTTATATACAATACTAAAATAACACGTATTTCTATCTTAACATTCATCTTTAATCCCGACCGTCCTCTTCGAATTCCTCCAGCGGTAAAATTTATCCCAGGTTTCATAATAAACTGATCCACATTTGTCTTTTAATATCATTGTGAGCCCGTCCATTTCCGCACATGCTAATATTTTATGTATTAACTCTTCCTCTGTGGGAATTTCCTTGCTCTTCCATTTTGGCGCTAAAGCAGAGTCTTACTTAATTGAGCCCTAATGAAAGGAAGTTCCAAGGACACAAATTTAGAATGAAGGAAAGGAAACACAGGACCAAAATATTAAGTATTTAGCACCTACTTAAGTTTACAGCTTTATGAGTGATGAACCAACGTAAGGTTTTCAGAGTTTTCTCATCTAGATGCTGACCAAATCTAAGCCACCTTAGATTCAGCCAGATTGGATAAGTCTCCCTTGAGTTAAGGTCAACTCCTGGGGACTACACGAGTACATCCATAAATATCTTTTGGACAAAAACTTTGTCAAAATCGAACGAGATTTGGACGATCTTGCTATCATGGTTCCGAAAAGAAGCAGCTTTTCAAAGAACTTTGAGGCTTATTCCTCTAAAAGAATCTTTTATTTACTGCATAGCTTCGGCAGCAGCTGACCTTGGCAACACTGTGCTCAGACATTGTTATGATTAACTAGCATATTTTCCCATCCACTAGACCTGTGGGTCGGGACCCCATTTGGGGTCGAACGACCATTTCACGGGGGTCGCCAAACAACGCAGTCCGCCATTTTTTCCCCCTTTTCCTTAGCTGTGCTACTCCCTTTTATTCTATTGGCTTTTGAAAGCCAATAGAATAGACTCTCTTGAATAGAGTCTAATTCTATTGGCTTTCAAAAGCCAATAGGAAGTGTCCAGGCTGTCTCTGCCCTGCTGAGCCCGCCAAAAGTCCCATCCTGCAAACGGTGCTGCACCAGTTGAGTAGTCCTCGACTTACGACCGGTTGGGGGTCGTAGCATTAAAAAGGTTGAGAACCACTGCACTAGACTATTATTATCTGCTTTAACTCTAGAAGTGCTATATAGGCTAAATAAAACAGGTTTGCTTCTTCATATATGGCAAGCGAGAACATCCGATGTTAACAGTCTTGACACTTCCATGAGAATTTACGCAGAATATCCTTGTGAGAGTTCTGGATGCAAAAAAAAAAGCTGCTAACCCCTCTGCCTTAGAAGAGCCACCTTGCAGAGGACATGTCTTTGCCCCAAATATGAAAAACAAATGGCTTTGGTTACCTCTTGGTCCTTCTTGTCCAGGGTTCCCTGGTGAACCTTTCTGTCCATTTAGTCCAGGATCTCCTGGGTATCCGGGGTCACCTTTTGTTCCTTGGACACCTGTGATGCCTTCAAAAACCATAAGAGGAGCCATTAAATTGCCATCTTCCCCAAGTCAGGGAATTCTTGGAGTTCAAAATTTGTACCCCCTCCAGTTTTCACACCTCTAAAATGAATGAACTCAATATTTCCATGGGATGGAAAAACTCCAAAATCATGCGTAAGAATTGACTCCCTTTTTAGCAGGAAATGAGCCGACAAATGTCTATTCGTAAAGCATGTCAACAGTCACTCAGCCATGCTGGGGGTTCACAGGGATTTCGCTTGACAAGGACCTCATTTCTAAGGATCGTAAGAAAGTTAACACTGATCCCTTAAGAAAGGTGGTGTCAGGCTCAAAGGATGAAGACCATGCATTAAATTGCAGTTCAGAAGGTGTATTGCTCGTGTGCCTATACACAAGACTCTAATCAGCTCAAGTGCAGTACTAAATTGGTGGCAGATAAGGGTCACCGGAATTCAAGTGGGGCTGAACTTAGACCAGTGATGGCGAACCTTTTAGAGACCAAGTGCCCAAACTGCAACCCAAAACCCACTTATGTATCATCGAGTGCTGGGTGGGCGTGGCCCATTGGGTAGGTGTGGCCATTTGGGTGGGCGTGGCCCATTGAGCGGGCGTGGCTGCGATGGTAATGGCAGACTGGGTGGGACTAAAAAGTTCAATCAATCAATTCCAACTTTGCGAGATCTTTTTTTTTTCCCGTGAGAAGTTGAAATTGACTGATTGAACCTTTTTTTTTTTTGCACACGGCGGCGGAGGCCTAAAGCGAAAAGGTTTTATAAAACCAAGCTGAAGGCCTAGGACTGGGGTGATGGCGCGCGTGCCCACAGAGAGGGCTCGGCGTGCCACCTCTGGCACCCGTGCCACAGGTTCGCCACCGTGGACTTAGACCATTTGTGGAAATATAATGATTCTAAACTGATGATATGCTTAACTCCTCCCCCCAGCTCTGTGTGCTCTTCTCCTACAGGTGGACTTTCAGTTAATGTATAGTAAAAGTAATCTAAGGTAAGCTTACTAGTTCCCCTTCCTTGAGTCATTGTAGGCTATTGATTTCTTATTTACCTGGCAGCCCTTGGTCTCCTCGTTGGCCCTTAGGTCCCACACCACCTGGGATTCCTCGGGTTTCCCCTCGGTCACCTGAAAAAGAAAGACAATTATCTGCTTTTTATCTCAGCAATTCTGACAACTCACCCCCCTCCCACTCCCAGAGTTTTCTGGGAAAACCCTTCGTTTTTTCCAGTAGCATTTTCTCTTCCACATTTTTTTAAGGAGGTTTTTTTTTTTTTGCAAAGAGCATAATCAATACCAATTTTAAGTTTAGATAAATGGAGAAAGGTACTAGAGAAGTGGAAAGTGATAAGTACATTTCTATGTTGCTTCTCTCTCTCTAAGGTTACATCGAGTTTTCCTTCTTTCCCTAATCTACTTTTTCTAATCCTCTTCTCTATAAATCGTCAGTTCATTTTTTTTCCTCCTTTCTCAGCAAAACGTCTAAGACGATATCAATGATTTACCTTTTGGACCACGCAATCCGATAATTCCTGGGGGGGCCGGTGAGCCTGGTATACCTTCTGCACCCTATTGAAGGAAGTGTCGTGCAATAATCAAAATTAACACTGAAATCAGCTTTCATGGTGGTGCGATTGGCCTCTTAGTATCCAGAGAGGAAGCTCCTTTCTAGTTACTATTATTGTGACCACCAGCTATCTGAAACCACGACAGTGATCGTGGGGATGCTGCAACGGTCATAAGGGTGAAAAACTGTCATGTCCCTTTTTTTAAGAGTCGTGGTAGTTGACCTGAAATGTACAAACTCAGAAAACTCACAAAGTAGCACAGAATGTTTTTAATACAGATAATCCTTGACTTACGATCACAGTTGAGTCCAGAATTTCTGTTGCTAAGTGAAACATTTGTTAAGTGAACTTTATGACCTTCCTTGCCACAGTTGTTAAGACAATCGCTGCAGTTGTTAAGTTAGTAACACAAGTGTTAAGTGAGTCCATCTTCCCCATTGACTTTGCTTGTCAGAAGATCCCAAAAGGGGATCACAAGATCCCGGGACACTGCGACTGTCATAAATATGAGTCAGTGGCCAAGCGTCTGAATTTGGATCACCTGATAATGGAGATGCTGCAACGGTCGTGTGAAAAATGATCATAAGTCAAATTTTTCAGTGGCTTTGTAACGCTGAACAGTCACCAAATAAACTGTTGTAAGTCGAGGGCTACCTATAGTATATACAACATTGGGGGAGGGGAAATGTAGTTGGTAGGGATTCTAGAGACTGGAAAAGAAAGACTGCAGGGTCACTGCCAATTCCAGTTTTTGATTTCCATTTGAAGAAACTTCTGACAATCTAGACAGTGCTACTCAACCCAACAGCAAGATCAACAGCCTCAAGGGATTTCGCCTAGATTCCTCTCCCAGTTGTTGATTGTGTGGTACGGGAGATCCAGGGAAATGCAGAGAGGCTGTTTCCTGACTTTATCCTCATGTCTTCTGCCAAAGCAGACCCAGAGTTCCTTTAGACCAGACATGTCAAACACAAGGCCCGGGGGTTTCATGTGGCCCGCGAAGCCATCCTGGAAACAGTGAGGGAACGGCCCCCTCTGCCTTGGCCCTGGCCCAGGCCAGCCAGGAGCCAATGTACAATTTTGTGGTGGCCATCTATGCTGAAACACATTCAGTCTTAGCTCCATAAGCCCCCCCTCGCAAGGCCTGAGAGGAACAGTGAGGCTCCTCCAGTGGACCATGCCTTGGCACTTGCCCCGGTCCCACCCCCTTCTGCCAGAGACCCTCAGATCTATCCCACTCCTGCCCAGGCCCCCACAGGCACCCTTGACGCAAACGATGTAGAGGTGGCCATGCCCATCCAATAGGCCACACCATCCACACCCACCCAGTAGGCCACACCCACCCTGGCCACACCCACCCCGAGGGCAACCACAGTGCTGATGCAGCCCTCAATGAAATTGAGTGTGACACCCCTGCTTTAGACGTTATACAGCTAGTGCACTTCTACCTGGTGAAGAATATATGGACCATAACCTTATGAAGGACCCAAAGGATCCTGAAGTTGTTAGGAGCTCACTAAGACACCCAAAGTCTAAAAGTGGTGGCCACCATTAAACTTGGAAGAACAGTGGAAGTGCTTCCCGCCCAACTAGGAGGAAAAAAGAGATAGGATACTTACTCTTCCCCCAGGCATTCCAGGAAAGCCCGAGATGCCACCAGATCCCTTTTGTCCCAATAACCCAGGAGGACCAAACGTTCCTGGAAACCCTGGCTCTCCTGGCTGTCCTTTCTCCCTAGATGGTGATCCGTATCTTCCTGGAAGTCCTGGCTGCCCACGGACCCCAGGAGGTCCTTTTCCCCCTACAGAAAGGGAAACAATGTTACGGTGTGTCTAATGCTTCTTTAAAAATGCAGATTGGTAGGGTTTCACCTTGCCTACCATCAGCCTATTGTGAGAGGAGTTACCTGTTGAAGGAGGCAATGCTACAATAATTAGAGATTTCTTGCGTAATGCAGGCAGTGCCAGGACTAGCATTCTGCTTTCCAGAACAATTAACCACAAGTCTACAGAAAAAAACAGGGTGGTCCTAGTTCTCTTCTGATGGTCATCAAAATATTTCATTTCTAGCGCCCAAGTCAAGTAGACATTTGTGCTTAAATGCTGCCTTGGTGGTGGATCAATGGAAGATGTAGCCCAGCATCTTGATTTCCGCAGCCACAGTTTACAAGAATGGAGTCTCCCTCTCTGTCGCCCATTAGAAGGAAGCAAGTCTCCCACAAATGGAGATTTGGGGATTCTCACCGATCTGTAACGAAATGCTCAAGAGCACAGGCAAGAGCAGATTTCTTTGATCTAGACTGGTTAGGTAGGCGATGTAGTTCCAATATATCTCAAGGACAACAGGACAAAGAGAGTCAGCTAGAACACCTATCATGGCGCACGTAGTTCAGGACAAACATAAAATGGACGTTATTATCTGATGCCAAACACATACCTCTTGGTCCTGGATACCCTCTCTGTCCAACCATTCCAGGATCTCCTTTATTCCCTTTGAATCTGAGGGCCACCTCTGGGGGTACGAAAATGGGAGGGCCAGGAGGACCATGGACACCTCTGTCCCCTGCACAAAAGAAGACAGAGGAACACAGCAAGATGCTTATTCTGCCTATACCAGTGGTGGTGAACCTATGGCATGTGTGCGGCACTCGGAGCCCTCTCTGTGGGCACACATGTTGTTGCCCCAGCCTTGCCTCCCCCTGTGACCCCCTCCTCACCAGCAGCCCCCCTGGAGGAGAGTCACCCCCGAGCATGGCCCACGCAGAACAGCGCAGCCAAGGACATGTCAGCCAGGCAGCATAGAGAAGACTCTGCCCTCGTGCCCCATTGCGCACAGTTGATGCTCCAGGGTACAGGCAGACGGCGTGGCTGCCATGGCGCTGCTGGGCTGCCTGGGTGATCTGTGGCAGGCCCTGGAAGCAGTGAGTGGCCCTGCAGGCAGGCGGGGTGGGGTGGGGTGGGGAGCCAGTTTTTGGGCACTCGGTCTCTAAAAGGTTCGCCATCACTGGCCTATACTGATCCACAGAGCACCAGACATTCCCGCTTAGAAGTATTTAGATCTTGTCTTAATTTATAGAACCTCAAAAGCACTGTGCGTATTACAATATATAGAATAGAAGAAGACTGAACTCTCAACCAAGGAACTTACTATCAGGAGTCCGATTCAAAAGAACTACTAAAAGGACGATGGAGACAGCTGTAAGCAGGAAAGCAATTAACGAGTTGTTTCAGTTGCATAGTCTTAAGCGGCATTGCAAATAAACCTTTGCAAGGACACAGGAACCAGGGGTCCTTGGTGGTCTCTGAGTTTGGTTGAAGCCCCTAGAATATAGACTGAGAGCAAAGCCCACTCCTTACTAGCACAGATGATGTTATCTGGTTCGAGTAATGAAACATCTGCAAGAAAACCACCAAGCTCAGAGAGCACCAAGGACCCCCCATTTCCACCCTCTCCTTTATTGGTACATGGAAACCAGGAGTAAGTTGTGACTAAGATTTCATGACTTTTGAGGAGGTATGTGAAATAGGACTTTGTATCTTAACATGTATTCCAGGAGTCAGTTCTGAACATTGGGCAAGAGAATTCAAGTCCTAGTTTCATCGGAAAGCAAAGATAGTATTGTGTAGTGGGCTTCAGTAGGCAAGGAGCAGACCAGCATAGTTACAATTGTTATTTATTGACTCAAACTAGAACTGGAGAACTGCAGGCAATTGCCTGTAATTTATACTGTGAGCCCGCAAGGCCTTAAACAATCACAATACTTGAAAAAGCCCGCCCAAATATGAATGTTCAAAGTTTCCCTCTAAAACAGTTGGAGTTAACAGTCAGGGTCATCTAAAGGTTAGTTTCATTTTATAATAATAATAATAATAATAATAATAATAATAATAATAATAATAATAATAATAATAGTAATAAAGTCGGAAGGGACCTTGGAGGTCATCAAATCCAACCCCCTGCTCAGGCAGGAAACCCTACACCATTTCGGACAAATGGCTGTCCAGTCTCTTCTTAAAAACTTCCAGTGTTGGAGCATTCACCGCTTCTGGAGGCAGGTTGTTCCACTGGTTAATTGTTCTAACTGTCAGGAAGTTTCTCCTTAGTTCTAGGTTGCTTCTCTCCTTGATTAGTTTCCATCTGTTGTTTCTTGTCCTGCCTTCAGGGGCTTCGAAGGATAGCTTGACTCCCTCTTCTTTGGGGCAGCCCCTGAGATATTGGAAGACTGCTATCATGTCCCCCCTCATCCTTCTCTTTGTTAAACTAGACATACCCAGTTCCAGCAGCCTTTCCTTATATGCTTTAGCCTCCAGTCCCCTGATCATCTTTGTTGCTCTTCTCTGTACTCTTTCTAGAGTCTCAGCATCTTTTTTACATTGTGGTGACCAAAACTGGATGCAGGATTCCAAGTGTGGCCTTAGCTTCACAAGCAGTTGGAGTTAAGTTAGTTTCCCTTTAGCAGGGATTAACACAACTTTATATATATTCAAATACTTTGGCCAACTAATGAGAAGGAAGGACTCACTGGAGAAGAGCCTAATGCTGGGAAAGATGGAGGGCAATAGAAGAAGGGGACAACAGAGAATGAAGTGGCTGGATGGAGTCACTGAAGCAGTAGGCATGAGCTTCAATGGACTCCAGAAGATGGTAGAGGACAGGAAGACCTGGAGGAACGTTGTCCATGGGGTCGCGATGGGTCGGACACGACTTCGCAATTAACAACAACAACAATATATATTCAACACATAACCGAGAGCATATACAACAAAAGCTTTGGGGCTGGGTTGGTGTTACACCATGCTTCATGCAAAATTGCTGGACTCACCTTTGGGGCCAGGGAAACCAGAAAACCCAGGGCTTCCACTTCTTCCTGGTTCACCAGAAGTTCCTTGGAGGCCATCCACGCCAGGGAGCCCAGGTGGGCCTGGCATCCCGGGAAAACCAATCACACCCAACGAGCCCTTTTCACCTAGTTTGAAACAACCAAGCGTTAATCTGTGCAAAGTACATTGCATTTTTTTGGGGGGGGGGGGGAAGAAGGACCAGAAATGCTTTGAAAAAAAAATCTGGGGTAGACAGTCCCTGACTAACAACCATTCATTTAGGGGCCGTTCAAAGTTACGACGGCACTGAAGACAGCGGTGTATGACCGTTTTTTTAACACTGACAACCATTGCCACAATCCACATTCGTGTGATCGACATTCAGAGGCTTGGCAACTGGCATGTACTTAGGACGGTTGCTGTGTCCCGCTGTCACGTGATCCCTTTTTGCCACCTTCTGACAGGCAATGTCAAGGGGGAAGGCAGATTCATTTAACAAACTGCAGTGATTCCCTTAACCACTCTGGCAAGAGAGGTCACCCAATGGGGCAACACTCAACTTAGACAAAGACATGTTGGGTTCAGTTGGGGTTAAAAGTTGAGGACTTGCTGTAATCCTCTTCCGAGCCCAGTCTCCAAACTCACAGGTTCATTCAAGAGCAGCGTTTCTCAACCTTGACCATTTTAAGGCATGTGGACTTCAACTCCCAGAATTCCACAGCCAGAGTTGCTGGCTGTGGAATTCTGGGAGTTGAAGTCCACATTTATTTATTTAATTTTATTTATATACTGCCCAATCCCAAAGGACTCAGGGCGGCGTACAGAATTAAAACAATCATAAAACAATAAAATAATACAGTCATACCGCGAGTCTGATCATATCCCGCCCCCCCCCCCGGGGACATCAGCCCCAGGCCTGCCAGAATAGGAGAGTTTTAACGGCTTTCTTAAAGGCCGGCAGGGTGGGAGTAGTTCGAACCTCGGGGGGAAGGTGATTCCCACCAGGTCGGAGCCACCACAGAAAAGGCCCTTCCCCGAGGGCCCGCCAGCCGACATTGTCTGGCCGTCGGGACCTGAAGGAGGCCCAATCTATGGGACCTCACCGGTCTCTGGGAACTGTGCGGCAGTATGCGGTCCTGTAAGTAACCTGGCCTTATGCCATGAAGGGCTTTAAAGGTGATAACCAACACCTTGAATTGCGTCCGGAGACCCACAGGAAGCCAGTGCAGCTCGCGGAGGATAGGTGACACGTGGGCGTACCTTGGCGCGCCCACAATCGCTCTCGTGGCTGTATTCTGAACCAACTGCAGACTCCGAACGCCCTTCAAGGGTAGCACTGAGAAACACTGATTCAGAGCAACCTGGAAGCTCCACACAGGTCAAAGTCCACAATTCTCATTCAAGCCCGGAGCTATAAATTTGGGGAGGGGGGGGAAATTACCTTTTGATCCGGGGAAACCTGGAGTTCCGTCTGGGCCCCAGAGACCTGGAGGTCCCGGCAATCCTCGTTCCCCTGGCTCTCCTGGCCGTCCATTAAGACCTGGAAGCCCTTTCATGCCGGCGGGACCTGGTGTACCAGCCTCTCCTCTTGGTCCTTTTGTTCCCGGAAGTCCTGAATGGTCCAAAACCCAAACCGTCACCATGTTTTCCCCAGGACAACATTCCTACCAACCGCTGCGCCAACTTTCAAGAGCTTAACACTTGAAGCATTTTATCGGTGTAAAGCTAACTGAACTGCGGCAAAACAAGAAAATAAAATCATGCAGACTTTCTAAAGCACACAAGGTTAGAAATGTAAAAAAAAAAAAAGAAAGTATTAGTTGCCTAGTGATTAAGCGCTCTAGGAAAGCTACTGCCTATAACCAATGGACAATTGCCAACAGTGAAACCCCTTATGTTTGGGATAATTTAGGTATTATCAGTTACCGTTTGGAAATCACGTGAGTCGTGAAGGCTACCAAAGGAGACTAGAAACTTCTTGGAGTGTCACATGCCACTCTCTACTCTCATTCTAATCTAAATCATTCCAAAATGTTGTTCCCAGTCTTTGCTTTTCCTTTATTCTAGGCTCTTGACTAGATAATGGGCTGGGCTGGGTTCCAGTGAGAAAACCTATTAACGTTGAAGTACATGGATGAAATCACAAATTGTGCTTGACTTAAGGAAGACTAAACCACACTAGTGGCAGCAGTAAACTGGCTGTATCTGATTTTGACAAAGCTAAGCAGAATTGGACTTAGATGGAACACCAATGGACAGGACTGTAGTCTAGATGGTAAAATTATAAATCTTCCAGGAGAAAGCTTTGGCAATTCACATCCATGCTGTGGCCAGTAACATTATCATGGGTGTATCTATCCAGTCACCAGAAGTCAAGCTCAATTTGACCTAGTCTTTACTTTTTAAAATTAAATTTAAAAGCTGAAGCGTGAGTAAGGCAGAACCTAAATAACAATCTGCAAAACTGTGCCGAAAACTTTAGAAATAACTTCGCTGATGAAACCAGCCCAACGGAGTGGAATTTAGCTTCTGAATACAGGGAGAGTCTTAATAGTTCAGATAATTTTTTTAGACATGCGACAACTAAAATGAGTAATGCTGGGAGGCTAAAAAAAAAAAAAATCTAACAAACTGTGCAGTCGTGACTAAAACATCACTTAAAAGCCACAGCTTCTTTTTCAGGAAAAATATAAAATGTCTGTAGATGGGGGAAAAAAAACACCAAAGATCTAAAATTAAGTGGAAGTCCCTGTTGGTCGAGGGATTATTTGCCATTGAGTTGGTGTTGACTCTCGATGTCCAGACTGATAGACCTTCTCCAGATTTAGTGGCCACACAGACAGACCTTCTCCGGTATGAGAAGTCCATCGTGCAGCATCCCCCACGTACAGACCCCTTTTCAAAAAAAAAAAAAAACAAGGTGAGGGCCGCAATTCTTTGCAGGATTGAAATAAGGGGTATCACGGTCAGTGCAACTTCGGTAGCAAAATCAGCTAGGCAGCTGTTAGTCCGAGAGTTTTTATGCTACAAAGCCTTTTCTCTCACCTTGGCAGCCTATGTGGAGAACCCCCAAAACCAAAACAGTGTGACATCAGAAATGGAGAGATGATGGCAAATGGAACAGAAACATGGTGAGGAAAAACAGACAAAAACATGTGAACCAGGAAGAAAGCACAAGGCTGAGAATGAAGTTAATGACTTGGAAAATAATTGAGCTCTTCATCTACGGAGATTCTCAGTCATCCAGGCCGTGACTGTCCCAAAGGCGCTTTTTTTTGAAGGCAACTGGACTTTCTTTATTTTTGCTTGAAGACATTTCGCTTCTCATCCAAGAAGCTTCTTTAGAACTTCAGAAGAAAGTCCAGTTGCCTTTTTGAAGGAGCACCTTTGGGACAACTGAGCTTTTTCTCAACACAGCTTAGACCAAACATACGGATGGGGTTCCCTGGGGTTGGGTGGATGGAGACAGCAGATAGAAATGTGAAAACTGGGCTGATGCTGGTAGTGGTAGAAATATTTGAGTAAGGGAAAGAATTAGTTTCCTCCTGGATTTCCTTTGAACATTTTTTACTCCTCCAGATTGTTTTCTTTCCCTTCCATCCAGGACAGTGGTTCTCAACCTTTTTAATGCCGTGACCCCCAACCGGTCGTAAGTCGAGGACTACTCAACCGGTTGTAAGTCGAGGACTACTCAACTGGTGCAGCACCATTTGCAGAATGGGACTTTTGGCAGGCTCAGCAGGGCAGAGACAGCCTGGACAATTCCTATTGGCTTTTGAAAGCCAATAGAATTAGACTCTATTCAAGAGAGTCTATTCTATTGGCTTTCAAAAGCCAATAGAATAAAAGGGAGTAGCACAGCTAAGGAAAAGGGGGAAAAAATGGCGGACTGCGTTGTTTGGCGACCCCCGTGAAATGGTCGTTCGACCCCAAATGGGGTCCCGACCCACAGGTTGGGAACCACTGATCCAGGACTTTGTATTTTTATTTGAAGGAACTATTTCTGCTGTGGCATCAAGGTCAGAGAAGATCACCTTCTACCACCTTAATTGGCAGCTCAGTTATTCAGGATTAGAGATGGATTCTCTTCGAGGTGAAGCATCCATGCATGCTCAAGTGGAAATATCTCAAGTCAGTGTATATACTCTATATTGCAAGCAGAAGTAAACCAATCCCTTCATTAAAAGGATCAGGATGGTGATGGAAGGACATTTGCTGAGATTGTTGAGGGGCTACTGGATCAAGTAACAAAGGGAAACTGAGGACAGCCCAGCAGTTACAGCTGGTACAAAACCCAGCAATTGTTAAATTTAGTGCCTAAATTTAGAATCACATTTAGAATCACTGACGTAAGGATTTGCAAGATAATTTCTGTTCCGGAACAAGAATGGCTGTGAATTACGCTTGGCATAGAGCTAAGCACTGTACTTGAACTGTTTGTATTCTTGTTTGACAATAGAATGGTTTATTATGGTGCCATTTATTAAACTCCAAGCAGTTTCATCCACAGGGGCTTGTGGCTGTCACAACTGCAATACATCCAAGAGGCTTTTGAGAAATTAAGAACACCAGTTTCTGTAGAGATTCTCAGTCATCCAGATCACAGTTGTCCCAAAGATGCTTTTTCAAAAGGCAACTGGACTTGAAGACGTTTTGCTTCCCAACCAAGAAGCTTCTTCAGTATTGAACTGAACAGAACTGAAGAAGCTTCCTGGATGCGAAGCAAAACATTTTCAAGGAAAAATAAAAGTCCAGTTGCAAACAGCACCGTTTTTTTCTGGCTGCTTAGGAAGATCATAGGGAGACACTGGGCCATATGAATGAGAAGAGATGGATGGGGTGCAAATCTCCCATGGCATGGGGATTTCCTGAAATTAATGAATGAATATGGATCATGAAAATTAGTCGTGAATGACAGGATCATGAAATGAAAAGGCTCGTTTTAGACAGCTACTTAATCTTCAGTGAAACGGTCGGTACAATGACCTATCTACCTGAGACAGACTGGACAGTATTTTTCAAAAAATCTTTTTTTATCCTGCCTTTATATATTTTTTTATAAATAACTCAAGGCAGGAAACATATCTAATATTCCTTCCTTCTCCTACTTCCCTCTGTGAGGTGGGTTGAGAAAATCCATATAGTGCCCAGAGACATTCTTGGGCATTAATGTAATCATTTACAATGCGCTAGACCCCCCCACCCGCCATGTATTCTTTTCAGTGAAACTATACAAGTACAGTAGTCCTTGTTTAATGACTAGTCACTTAGCGACTGTTCAAAATTACAACGGACTCTAAAAAAAGGTTCTTACGACTTGATTTTTCAAATTCTGACAAGCGCCTAACCCTCTCCCGTGGTCATGTGATCAATCTTTATGGTCATGTGATCACATTTTGGGGACTTAGCAACTAGCTTTATGGCTGTCTACATAAAGGAAAGCCAATGCATCGGTCCTCCAGTCTCACAACTGGGGTTTTTTTTAATGGGTTTTCAGCCTTTGTTTCTGGTTTCCAGCAAAAAAAAAAAAAAAAGCCCATTGGGCAACAATGGCTTTGTTTAAAGACTGTAGCGTTCGCCTAATGACCACTGCAAAAAATGTGCAGTTGGGTGTGGTCATGTAAGTGACCTGCTTAACAACCGCTATGACTCATGACTGTCATCCTAGGTTCAATGATGATCATAATTCAAGGACTACCTCTATCCAGTGCTGGTTCAGTGCATTTGGCTGAGAGCGTCAGCCTCTGCTTTGCTCTCCCACCTCATCTCCAGAACTCTGGAATGGCCTGAATAAGTTTAGAAGCCTGAACACCTGAAGACCAAGGGGATATCAAGCTGAAGGGTATGTCTCAAGCGGGCAACCTGCAGGAAAGCTCTGTGGAGGGGATGTCTGAAGGCCACACACACCTTCATCCAGGACGAAACAATTCATACCTTGTGATCCTGGAAGGCCGATTGTTCCCAAGGGACCTGGTTTTCCTTTGATGCCAAATGGACCTCCTGGTCCTGGTGGTCCTGGCGGTCCATCAAAGCCTGGAAGACCTGGTTCTCCAAATCCCCCTTTTCTACCTGGCAGGCCAGGCTTTCCATCCAGACCTGAAAACCAAAGAAGACCTGGCTCCTATTCTTTCCCCCTTACATGGGTGATCAACAAAATTCATGGGGTTGATTCAGGCATCATTACAAAATAACTAAAGTTGGAAGGGACCTTGGAGGTCTTCTAGTCCAAGCCTCTGCTCAAGCAGGAGACCCCATGCCATCTCAGACAAGTAGCAGTCCAATATCTTCTTGAAAAGCTCCAGTAATGGAATAGCACAAGTTCTGGAAGCAAGCTGGTCCACTAATTAATTGTTTTCATTGTCAGGAAATTTCTCCTTAGTTCTAGGTTGCTCCTCTCCTTGATTAATTTCCATCCATTGCTTATTGTCCTGCTCTCAGGTGCTTTGGAGACTAGGTTGAACCCTCTTCTCTGGGACAGCCCCTCAAATATTGGAAGATTGCTACCATGTCATCCCTAGTCAACCTGATGTGACAAACCTGAGGTCCTTGGCTTTGTGATAGATGATGTTTTCAACCTCTGGAAGCCTCAAAAAGCAAAGATCTATGCAGTTTTGAAAATGATGCAAGGACCTGTAACCTTCTGGGTATCAACTTAAATAAATACACAATGAATTGTCTACATTGCCTTTGAAATGAAGTGAGACAGTGCTTGCTTTTTTCTCCCTGGAAAGTATAAGTCAAACAAGTGAGCATAGCTGGCTGATTTGGTTTGTTTGTTCATGTTTCCCTTAAATATTCATTTTTAGGGGAAAGAAAACCATATTCCAGGAACTGCAAAAAATGGCAATGTCTATCTCAACATTTTACCAGCAAGATGTGATTTTTGACTTGTGGTTTCTATCTTTTTTGGGATTTGTGATACCAGTCACTGTGACCTGTAAACTAGGTTGATTTTTCTGTAATATGAAATGAGACCACTATCTATTGTTCCAGAAAGACAACCCATCAACGGCTCCTTAAAGAAATCAAAAAGCTATCGATATTTTCTTCAGTAGACTTCTTAGATCAGGGGTCCTCAATCTTGGCGACTTTAAGAATTGTGGACAACTTCCAGAATTCCTCAGCCAGCAAAGCTGGCTGAGGAATTCTGGGAGTTGAAGTCCATAAGTCTTAAAGTTGCCAAGGTTGAGGACCCCTGTCTTAGATCATTTAGCTCATTTAAATCTTTCTATCTTCACTCTTTGAACCCAAGCTAAGGTACATTGAAGAGTTTCCCATCCAGAAAGGAACCATCTGCAGACCCATTGAACTTCAACAACTTTTCAGTGTTCTTAAACCAAACAAGAGATGCTTAGAACTCACCTGGTGTTCCAGGAAAGCCAAAATCTCCAGGAAAGCCTTTATCTCCTGGTAAGCCAGGTACCCCAGGTTCTCCTTGGGGTCCTGGTTCAGCCCCAAACACGTCACCAGGGTCTCCATTTGGACCAACCAAACCAGGACAGCCTTCTGGACCTTGCTGCCCATCCGCTCCATCAATTCCTGGTAGTCCTTTTGGACCTGGATCTCCACGAGGGCCAGGAAACCCTTTCAAGAAAAGAAGGCATGAATAATTTTAAAGCAACAGAGAAGAGTTGCTTTTGTTTAGGAGGAGAGAGTGTAGGAGAAAAACAGGCAGAGTCTGGGGGTGTAGACAAGAGAGGAATCAGCCTAGACCAGTGATGGAGAACCTTTTACAGACCGAGTGCCTAAACTGCAGCCCAAAACCCACTTATGCATCGTTGGGTGCCGGAAGGGCGTGACCCATTGACTGGGTATGGCCCATTGGGTGGGTGAGGCCCATTGGGTGGGTGTGGCCCATTGGATGGGTGTGGCTGCGGTGGTAATGGCAGACTGGGTGGGACTAAAATGTTTAATCAATCAATTCCAACTTTGCAAGATCTTTTTTTCCCCCCACAAGAAGTTGAATTGATTTATTGATTGAACCTTTTTTTTTTTTTACACACGGCGGCGGAAGCTTAAAGCGAAAAGGTTTTATAAAACCCAGCTGAAGGCCTAGGACTGGGGCGATGGCGCGCATGCCCACAAAGAGGGCTCTGAGTGCCACCTGTGGCACGCATGCCATAGGTTCGCCACATGGGCCTAAACTCTCTATGTAGCCACAAAGGGTCTAAGTCCAGCCTCTCTTGAATTCCATTAACTGTTATCTAGTACCAATTTACAAATCAACTTAGTTGGAATTTAATATGTAATCCTGATTCTTTGCACCTGACCACATTTTTAGCAATAGTTTATGTGTCTCATCATCTGCTCATAAATTTATAAGCCAGATCCAAGTGGATTCAGGGTGGTTATGATTTACAGCAAAACCTGGGCTGCAATAAACTCAGATGATGTTCGTAAGGAAAGCAAACTTCATTCCATACACGCTTGATAGGTGGAGAATGATGCTGCAGTTATGCTAGCCAACCATTGAGTCTATACCACACAATAAATGCCCACAGGCATGTGGTGGCACCATGGTTTGCTAAGGCATTAAAAGAGAGTCCTTAGAAGCCCTGAAAAACCAACCCCATGGGCACTGAACATATTTAAAGACTGTCGTAAGTCGAGGACTATCTGTAGTTCAATTTTTAAGTGTTCGGGAATTTCAGTTGATTCCTGGTGATCTCGTGGATGTATCCGTAGAAGGGTTTTGGAAAGATTAGGAAGTGTGTGGCCAAGGACATCTGGATTTTCCCCTCTTTCCTGGTTCTTACCTGGCATTCCTGGGAACCGAGCCACTCCAGGTGTGCCTGGTTCTCCTTTTAAGCCATTTAAACCTGGCTGCCCTGGAAAACCAGGGAATCCTTTGCTACCCTTGGAACCTGGAGGAAGAGGAGGAGAAAATCAGTTTGGGAAAAAACAAACATCTGTCCTTCTTAGCCTCCTATGAAAAGTGCAACGATGCTCTGACTCCTCTAAATGCATTTTGCACTGAAGCACGCCAACGAGTACAGTTAATTTAGTTGGAGTTAAATGAGGCGTCTCTGGTGCTCTCTGAGCTCACTTGTTTTAACAGAATAACAGAGTCGAAAGGGACCTTGGGAGGTCTTCTAGTCCAACCCCCTGCTCAGGCAGGAGACACTATACCATTTCAGTTCAATGCTTGTCCAATCTCTTCTTAAAAACTTCCAGCATTGGAGCAATCACCACTTCTGGAGGCAGGTTGTTCCACTGGTTAATTGTTCTAACTGTCAGAAAGTTTCTCCTTAGTTCCAGGTTGCTTCTCTCCTGGATTAGTTTCCATCCATTGCTTCCTGTCCTGTTTTCTTGCAGATGTTTCATTACCCAAACGAGGGAAAATCACCGGTGCTAGTAAGGAGTAGGGTTGGTTCTCAGTTTATATTCTAGTGGCTTGCCCTGTCAGTGTTGGTGTGTGTGTGTGTGTGTGTGTGTGTGTGTGTGTGTGTCTGTCTGTCTGTCTGTCTGTCTTAGAAGTTCTTTGGTTGGGCTGTTTACTGTTGGTGTCTTTGGCAGTTTCTTCACTGGGGTATTGTTTACTTGATTATTGAGCCAATGTTAATCTTGGAATTAATTACTGAGCCGAGGTGGCGCAGCAGTTAGGGTGCAGTACTGCAGGCCACTTTAGCTGACTGTGTTCAGCAGGTCAGCGGTTCAAATCTCACCGGCTCAAGGTTGACTCAGCCTTCCATCCTTCCGGGGTAGGTAAAATGAGGACCCAGATTGTTGGGGGCAATGTAAATATATATATATATATATATATATATATATATATATATATATATATATATATATATATATACATACACATACATACATTGCTTACTGGTGTACACCGCTTAGAGAGTGCTTGCACTTAAAGTGGTATATAAGTCTCATAAATAAATAAATAATCTACGCTCATCTAAGTCCTGATTGCCGGTGGGGAGGTAATTGAGTCTTTTTGTTCCCTTTTGGGCTGGCTGATAGTCTCTTTTGTATAATCTGTAGACATTGTTCATGTCTATGTGTCTGTTGATGGCTGATTTGTCAAGAGTGCCATGCTTCTAAGAATTCCCTGGCATGTTTGTACTTGGCTTGGTCTAGGATGGTCGCATTTCCCCCATTGAAACTACGGTGAAGTCTGTCTTTAGGTTGCGAAATTAAAGAGTTTTCATCATTATCTTCTGACTGTTAGAAGAAGCTGGGGTTAAAGCAACTTACCTGGCAACCCTGAAAGTCCCGGAAGTCCAGGTGGACCAATGATTCCAGGGATTATGCACGGCACAGCTTCTCCTGAAGACAGGAAATGTGTTAAAACTTTGATGTTCTTTTTTTGGGTTAAACAAAACATGTAAGAACTTTTCCCAAGAAACAGGTGGCAGTGCCAACATCTCAAGATCCACCGGAAAATAAAGTGCTCAGATCCTGTTCTGTCACTTAGGGACAATTGCATGTGGAATTTTGGTCCAGGCGATGAAGGACTTCTGTCATTCCGTACCACAACAAGAAACAGAGCTGATTTTCTTGGCAATTACCTGCAGCATAGCCTGTTTCTCCCTGGGGAGAATGCCATCAGCCTCCCATTCCCAAATTTTTGCTTCTCTTTTGCTCCCATACTTGCAAACCTATTGTAGTATCCTAAGATTTTCACGCCTGGATTTAAGGTAATTTTGCAGCTAGCAAAATGTTTTTCCTGCTTAAAAAAAGCGTGATGGATGGCTGATCTCAGCTGGTGATTGCAATGTGTTCTACACAGGGCAGTTTTTGGAGATGACCTGAAAGTTACAACAGGTCCAGAATGTGGTGACTAGATTGCTGGAGAGCCCAACCTTCCATTGTAGGAACCTAATGATTTTGAAAACATAGCTGAGGGCAGATTTTGGTACTCCCTCTGGACACAGTACCCAAAAAATGACTTCCAAGATGGATTGATTAATGGTGGAGGACACTGAGCTGTCTGAAGACTCCAGCTTACTTCTAAGTAGGGGACAGGCACGCCTTCAAATACCACTTGCAGAAGAACACTGGGGGGAGAAGGGTTAGTCCCGACCTCCAACTTCTGGGCATTCCAGAGGCATTTGGTTGGCCACTGTAAGAAATAAAATTCAGCAGTGCTATTCTTGACCAGAACAGTAGTATCTTCTGATTGGCTCACTTTGAATTTTTCACAGTAGCTATGAGGGCATTTGTGGTAAGTAGCTAGACTGACAGAGAGTGATTAATCTAGCACTGGCAAAGTACCGCTAGCTATCATTAAGACTGGCCAGGAACGACTGGGGCAAGAAGTACCTAATGCAAAAAGGAGCAGATGACTACTGAGCCTCAGTCATGATCCGAAGATCTCCCTGTATCATGTGGTGGATCATCCAGTTGGATTGGAAGATGGTGTTAAGTGAGGGCTGAGCTTAGAATCTTTGCATGGCAGAAAGCAGCACAGGTGTTTAACCGCCCCCAGAATCCTTGAAGCCTCATCTGACCATCCCCAAGGAAATGCAGTCAGTCTGGGAGATTCTTGTAATATAAGTGGCTAGCAATAAAGTTTCTGCTTGAGATTATTCACGACTGGTGGCTTGTACTGGTTGCTTGTACCTAAGAACAACGACCCATGAACATTCCCGTGAATGTCTAATTCTAAATATCTTTGGCTTCAATTTCTTTGGGTGATTTCATTTTCACCGTCCTAAAAGGAGAAGTAGAAAGGAACTGTCCAAATGTTCGTGTCCAGGAAAGAGCTTTGTAATCCTGTTGTGGTTCCCGCTTTGTCCACCTGACTTAGGATTTGCAAAACACTTTATTTACCGATGTAAAATCGAAAGGAAAGTAGCAGTGGGGCTTTCTAAGGTTTGCCCTCCCTCCCTCCCTCCCTCCCTCAAAATCCTCTCTCCTTCCCTCCTCCCTCCTTGCCTTCTTAAGCCCCCGTGAACAGCAACTAACAGAACATGCTCCCCCCAAATGAGCATCAATCCAGCGATTACACAAGTGAATTTGAATTCAATCCTCTGCCGAGTGATAAAAATGTCAGCCTATGGAGTAGGGCAGTGGGGTGTCCTCTTGGCTTCCACAGCTCCAATTGTTCAGGGGCCAAGCACTCACATCTTCCACAGCCCTCGATCAGCTTCATGCAACAAGTAAGGCACAAGAACACACAGCCAGAAGGAAGCAGATGGCGAGCACGGCAGTGGACAACTTTGGGATGGGGCAGGGAGAGGAGAAAAGCACTGGTAAGCAAGCTCCCCATGGACAGTGCCCCTTGCTACTGATGTCTTTGTCCACAGAGAAGGACCTGCCCCTCCATGCTGTTGAACGAGATGCTTTGGGGTGTGTATGTGTGTGTAGGAGTGCACCCGTTCTTTTTGAACTCCCAGATCCTCGCTCTCACCTCCCTGAGCGTCTAAGTCTCCATTACCAACCTCCTCACCGCAGCAGCAATCACCTATACCAGTTAAGCAAAGGAGCACAAGTTAAAACAAAGCAGAGGGGAAGGGGAAGCAGAGAAAGAAAGGATGACCCACGAGAGGTTGGTTTGCATCCCAAGGCGCCGAGATTCACAGGTACAATATGCGGGGTTAATCCACCCAGAGAGTCATCATGAGAGCTAGAAATTCTAAAGCCATTAGAAAACAAGTCTGCATCACATTGAGACAAGAGGCGGACAACAGATGGGGCGACATAAAAACCTGGGCTCCCCTGTGCCTTTAGTAGGCCTATCATTAAAGTATGCAAGATGAAGCACCTCCATTGATGAAGATCCAATTCATATGTAGATGAACAACATTAAATTAAATTCAGCCCAAGAACAGCCATGCTGCCATTGTTACAACTATTGAAGGAAACCTTGTGTGAAAATCAAGAAATGACCATGGTGTTGGTCTTTTGTCTTTTGGGCCAAGGCAAGGTGGATCCCAAGCGGAATGTAAAGACTCAATCCCATAGGGCAAAATTTATGTCATCATCATCATCATCATCGTCGTCATCATCAAGATAATCCAATTGGTTTGTTAGGAAAGTGTAGTCTCTAAGATCATTCTTTATGTCTGAAAAGTCACCTCAAGCTCTGTGAGAAGAGGAACTAAATGCAATTCGATCTTCTTAGACAAGTTGGGGTGGCTTACTTAGGGATGGGTTTCCCCCCCATCTTTATCCCCACAACAGTCCCGTGAAATAGTTCGGGCTGAGACTGAGGGGCCCAAATGCATCTGTTGACACTCAGGTATCTAGCGGGGATCTGAACGTGGATCTCCACGTCCATATCTAACCATCTGAATGATGCACTTTCCTGGCTGCGATCCAAAATCAAACGAATCCCCACATCACTTACCTGGCGGCCCTGGTGGGCCAGGTTGTCCTGGAATGCCACTGATCCCGGGATCACCTCTAGGTCCAAAGCTTCCATTTGGTCCCGGAAAACCAATGCCAGGTAGGCCAATTTCACCACGCTTCCCCTTTGAACCAGGTAGACCAGGGAAACCTTTGTCCCCCGGGAAGCCAAATCCATCATCACCCTACAGAGATATAAAAAAAAGACCATGCGGAAGGGAGATAGCCCCATACCAAGAATGATGGTTAGCAAAGTTGTTCAAGAGTCATATTCTTGGTTTGGAAGCAACGGTTCTGAGGGCCACCTCTAAGGAAGATGAACCTGCACCTCCAGCTCGGAATTGGATCTGAACTGGAAAAGGAACTAATCCGGTCTCCAAGCCCCCCCCCAAATATGGCAGATCCCTGATGCTGCAGTTATCTTTGAGGAACTGATGTATCTTTGAGAAACTGATAACTGCTGCAGTTATCTTTGAGGAACTACTTGCTTCCTGGTATGGTGTGTAAGAAGCAATCAGATAAGTGGTGGTGGGGGGAGAATCAATTAGAGGTAGATGAAAAGCACTTGTAAGACAGTGGTCCACAACCATTTGGCACCAGGGACAGGTTCCACAAAGAAAGGTTTTTCTGTGGACTGGAAGGAGCATGCTTTCATGCGCTGCCTGCATCCTACGTAGGCATGGATGGGGTTTCGCTCATTTGTTTGGCCCGGTTTATGGTGTGCCACGGACCGGTGCTGGTCCACAGCCTGGGGAATGGGGACCTCCGTTATAAGATAGGAGATGGAGTGGAGATGGTTCCTCGTCATACCTTCTCGTATGAATACCACTACATCTGATCTAAACGTCAGCCCTTTAACCTAGGCAGAAGAAAGTTTACAAAAGCTGAGAACTTCTTTTACCATGGACTTGGCAGGTTGGACCTAGTGACCCCACATCATCAAAGAAAAGCAGTCTGGTCTTACAATCCATAGCCAGGAAGAGTATACTGGTTAGGAATTTTGAAGTGATGAAATTCGACATTTCTGGATTCCAATTTGGGGAGACAAGGGCATACATTTTATTGTAAGGGGCTTTGAGATGGACAAACATACCGGAGGACCACGTTGACCTGGGACACCTTGCACACCATCCCTACCAGGAGTTCCAGGTGGCCCTGAAGGACCCCTGAGGCCAACATTCCCTGGATCTCCTCGAGGTCCTCTGCCTGAGGCTGAAGATGGTTCCCCTTTTTGTCCTTTAATGCCTGGAAGACCAGGTTGACCCAAGAAACCCTGGAAGACAAACAGAGAGAGTTTAGCAAAAACAGATGGTGTACTCATTAATTATGGGAGTGAAATGGTACATAGAATGATCTTGGGAGATGGGGAAGGTGCGAGGAGAAAAGGCACTGTCTAGGGCAGTGGTTCTCCACCTGTGGGTCGGGACCCCATTTGGGGTCGAACGAGCATTTCACGGGGGTCACCAAACAAGGCTGTCCGCCATTTTTTCCCCCTTTTCTTTGGCCACGCCCCTGGCACCCGGTGATGTATAAGTGGTTGAGGGGTCACCACAACATGGGGAACTGTATTATGGGGTCGCGGCATTAGAAAGGTTGAGAACCACTGGTCTAGGGAATCATCAGATAAGAGAAGACTTAGCCTGAAGCTCCATAATGGACAGAGAAAGAGCCTCAGAAAGGAACCTCACTAATATCTCAGACTATAAACAAGATGGCGGGAGATTTGTACTTTCAGATTTGGAAGATTCTGTTGAATCTTCTAGTCCTAGAATAAGGTAGAACTAGGTCAACTGGTCACGTTTCTTCTCAGGAAGGCTTTGGGAGTTATTGTTTGAATCAGATTGGCCTTGGACATGCTATGTTTTTATTCTTACTGCTTTTGGTGCTCAATATGAATCAGATAATAAAATTATGCACTACCGTAAATTCTGTCCATATATCAGACATGAAAGATCAGGTCCACATGTGAAGATCCAGTTAAACTCATTTATTGCTACTCGTGCCTATGCATAGGAATCTTCTCAACTAACTTCGCTTGTGGCTACAGAGAAATTCTAGGCCAATCCCTCATTTAACTCCACCCCTCAGTATTAGGGAGAAAGAGGAGAAGGACAAAGGACTACATCTTGTGACGGTTGGAACCCCCTTGGATCACGTTAGCCCAACATGTGGCGAGGCTTTAAGCTTGATTCTTGCACATAGTGGAAGAGGAGAGAAAACTTGAGCAGGATTAAAAACAAAAGTATAGTTCGTTATTTCAGGAAGATATACTGGGGCTTTCTTCAAGATGGCTGAAGATGAAGACTGGTCTAGTAGTCTCCCAGCAAAATATGACCCTGGCCTGGTCCTCTTTGGAGATAAAGTTATGGCCACCCACCATAAAGAGCCTTCTAAAGATGAATTTCATTCTTCCCACCAAACAGAAAGGTTTTCTAATTTAGCTTATCTAACCTGTCTAACTTCTTGTGACACTGTTCCCTATCAAACAAAAGAAATTTATTCCTTACTTACGGGTGGTCCAGGGGGACCTAGTATACCATCTCCTGGATCCCCCACGGATCCTTTTGGCCCAACATCACCTTGTCTTCCAGGTTGACCAGGGTTACCTGACTCTCCTGGCAAGCCTATTCTCGTGATTCCTCCATCACAAGCACAATCTCCACCGTCCCCTGGGAAAACAATTACTCACTTCAGACATGCATCAAAACCACACCACAGTTGAGAGCTCAAATCAGTGTTTGGTTTTGTTTAAAAAAAAATCAAATTTCTACCTATAAGTGTGCGTAGGTTCAAACATAGTTCCTCCATATCTGTATTTTAGTTGCTTCTCTGTGCATGTATGTTTTAAAGTAATCAACAAAACCCCAAAAGTAGAATCAGGAGAACATAGGGACCATGTTTCTTCTGTAGCATGAGTGAAAATATTGTCGTGCTAATGGGTTAAATGAATAGATACATGCTTCTACAGATATACAATGCCCAGGTAATTGGCAGATCCTGGAAAACTAATAAGGGACTGGACTAGTTGGTACTTGGGTGGAAGATCTCTGGAAAATAAAACGCTTCAGAAATGTGTCCAGGAGGTCACCAGATGTTAATGCAACGTAAGGACAACTGTACTCCTTGCACTCAATTCACTCTAAGCAAAAACACTTCCAAACGTATATTAATCATAACATATTCTTGACTCGGTATTAAATCCTGTCTTGATTATAACTTAGTCCATCTTGGGTTTATGGGAGACACTGAAAGAATGTATTCTACTGTTTGTTCCTCCAGCTCACTGAAGTGGTCCATTAATTAGCCTGGCTACTTCCTCCACGTTCTGAGAGCGATTAAGGTGTTAGATTAGGAATGGAAAGATTTATGCATTTTACATCTAGTCCACTGATGTAAGCTGCATAAATAAATAGATGAAGTCCATATTTTCCTAACCAGAAGGTTTTGTTTGGGCCATGTGGGCATGGGTTCTCCAAACCGAGTGAAAACTATGTCATCACTTAGGCCAGTGGTTCTCAACCTTTTTAATGCCGCGACCCCCAACCGGTCGTAAGTCGAGGACTACTCAACCGGTCGTAAGTCGAGGACTACTCAACTGGTGCAGCACCGTTTGCAGAATGGGACTTTTGGCGGGCTCAGCAGGGCAGAGACAGCCTGGACAATTCCTATTGGCTTTTGAAAGCCAATAGAATTAGACTCTATTCAAGAGAGTCTATTCTATTGGCTTTCAAAAGCCAATAGAATAAAAGGGAGTAGCACAGCTAAGGAAAAGGGGAAAAAAATGGCGGACTGCGTTGTTTGGCGACCCCCGTGAAATGGTCGTTCGACCCCAAATGGGGTCCCGACCCACAGGTTGAGAACCACTGACTTAGGCCAAGAGTTAAAAACAAATGTTGCACAAGTGGACTCATGTAAAATTTTGCTATACATCTTATAGTTACTTTCTTCTGAAAAGACCCTGACTGAGTGCCTGGGAACATTGGAGGAATGTTCAGACAATGAGAATTCTACTCACCTTTATATCCTCTTAGGCCAAAGATTCCTGGGGGCCCCCTTGGCCCCGGAATACCTGGTTCCCCAGGTTCTCCTCTAAGGATTGCACCTGCTGGGTATGCTGTATTTGCATAAAAAAAAAGATGTTAAAATCCACAGGGATCTAGAAAACTGCATAGTCATGAGAAGCAGGATGCAGCAAAGAGAAGGCAGACCAATTTTCGTACTCAAAATCAGTGCAGAATACAAGTCATACCTGATCTTGGACTTACCTGAAGCACCTGGTAACCCTGGAGCTCCTGGTGACCCTGCAGCTCCATCTTTCCCAGGCAGGCCTGGAGATCCAACTGTGGTCCTTCCGGGCTCTCCTGGTTCACCTTTAACTCCTGAGATCCCTGGGATTCCTGGTGAACCTGGGGGACCTAAAAGAAGACTATGTCTTAGAAGTTATCCTCTCAATTCATCCCCCCCCCCATACCCAATAATCTGGTCCTTTATTTTCTGATTTAAGTGCTAAAAACAGTAGACCCCAACTTTCTAGTTTAAGGCATCTTGGCCAGGTAAGCCAACACTCAACATTCCTGTTGGATTGGAAGAGCCATGGACAGTTTTAGAAAAGTGTTCTGCTAGCATTGGTGACCAGGTTTTGCTAGGATGCCACCACTGCTTTCAAGGAAAGGAGGAGATGGTATATTTTAATGGAACTTTGCCAGATGTGTCCTGTCTGACTCACTTTGGGCTTCAGCTCACATTGTGCCCAGCGAAGACTGTCAATTCTGGTTACCAAGGATGGGTCTAACTAACTAACTAAGCAGGGGTTCAGTGGGGAAAGCTTTTTAACTTAACCTATGTAGATCCATAGATAATCCATAAGAACACGGTGGTTGGACACCATCAAAGCTGACACCAGACAGAGAATAGAAAAACTCAAAAAAGTAGTGCAAGATCGAAAGATGTGACCTGGCCCATAGAATCAACTGAAGAGATGAAATCCTCATCCTCCTCAGATGAAACTGGGTGAGTAAAGATATAAGGACAACAGAAATGTATTGGGAAGGATGGATGAATGGATGGATGGATGGAGATGACTTCATTGATTCTTTCCATTAATTAAGCAAAGGATGTCAGGTGGTTGAAAAACCATCCCAAATATCAGTAAACTACACATTTCTCCCCATTTCTCACTTTTTCCCACCCATGTGTGAGGCATATTAAAAGTTCCTCTAGGTCCTTCTTCCTTGTTTCCTTGTGTTTTTCTCTTTGTTATTTTCTGAGACATTTTTTTTCACAATCATGATAACCATGTCTTTCCAGAGACATGAACAACGCTTATCAGAAAACACCTTGGACACTTTTTAGTCAGCTTCTTACATGAAGATATCCCTGGGATTCTCTCACCACCCATGGATCCTTAACTAGGTTACCTGGAAGGGGTGGAGGTCCTCCTGGTTGCCCAGGAAATCCTGGCAAACCAACAGTCCCCTTATCTCCTCTAGATCCAGGGTTTCCTGGTGTGCCGGGTTCTCCAGGGGGACCTAGGGTTTAAAAGATGGAAAGCAAATAACTTCAGAACTGCTCTTCATTTATCCCACTCATCATACTAGTAGCCTACTTTTGGAATGTAAGAATCTGATTTAGCTGGAGTTGGAACCCACAAAATTCAATGGTGCCTAAACGGATCAATTCAGCACTTTTCCTAACAGTACCTGGAAATGCATACGGTTGAAACAGAGATCTTTGGCATGCGAAGAGGTCCTTCAGACATTGTACAACAATTGTCTTAGAAAGAAAAATTGGCATTTAAGACATCTTTGATACCAAGGAGGAGATGGAAGAAGACCAAGGAATACAGCCTGTGGTGGGTGAAACTTTGGTGGTTCATTTTGACCAAACATGCACAAATGATTTCAACTTGATTTCTGCACTAAACGAAAGTTTAGATTTCATTGTCTGAAGGTCCCCTTCCAATTCTAGTGACCTCTGAGTCATGCTCCTACTGTCTGTATATCTCCTATATCGATCCAATGATGGGGAAAACAGAGGAGAAGGTGGGCCCCAGATGTGATTCTTTTTCTCCAGAAAGTTTCCTATAAAAGAGTGATAGCTGAAGGACATATTTCACAGGGTTTAATTTGGATTCCTGCACGGAACCAGGAGCTGGACTTTATGAACGTTATGGTTTCTTCCAACTCTAGGTTCTTTTGTTGAGGGTTTCCTCTTTTCTTAATTGCACAATCCTGGCCAGCAGCCACAATTTCCACAAAGGGAAGATTGCTCGGACAAGCCAGATACAGCAATTTTGCATTTATGAATCTTGTAGTGGTTCCTCCAGATCAGGGGTCTTCAAACTTGGCCCTTTTATGACTTGTGGACTTCAACTCCCAGAATTCCTCAGCCAGGGACATGTGTCTGGCTGAGGAATTCTAGGAGTTGAAGTCCACAAGTCATCAAAGGGCCAAGTTTGAAGACCCCTGCTCCAGATGCATTCCCACATTCCAAGCAAACAGAGCCGTTCAGCGCATCAGGTGAAGATTATGGGATCTGCAATGTGATCCATCGGGAAGGCACTCCTTGTGGTCTACTCTGATTTGAACGCCACGGAACCCTAGTACAGCAAGAGCGGTAACATTAACCTAGCTTTGAGAAACATTTCAGTCTCCTTGTCGTACATGTTAAAGAAGACATGGATTTGGTAAGGAAAATCATCCACCTGATATGATGGCACCACTTGTGTCAACAATTATTGGAAGGCCTGGTGGACCCACATCTCCAAATTCACCCTGAAAGCAAGAAACAGAAAAAACAAGAGCTTCACAGCTTAGTTAAAACACTTCTGCTTCATCCAAAGTGTAATTCAGGAAGTAAGACACAAATGCAAAGTGGGCGGGCAGGCATGGCTGAATGACTGCATGCACAAAAACAGAATAAAAATCTCTGTAGTGCAGAAGACAAATCTGTCAGGGAGAAAGCTTGGCTAGAACTGTTCGCCTTTTAAAAAAAACAAGAAAACATGAATTTTCAGCTATCTTGAATCAAGAAACATCCCTGTAGATGAGACTTACTAGCCTGGAAGTGCCTTAGGAAGACATTAATAAGGTTCTTATTTCAATGTCTGCTTTCCAGATCTATCTAAAGTGAAGAAGTGACAGATCAGGAAAGGACTTGGGTGGGTAAACAAGAGGTATAGAAATTCATAATTTGTGGACCTGGTTTGCAAGAGGAGGGAACTATTACTCTTGAAATATATTTATCAATATTCCGTTGGAGGTAAATCTACGTGTACGTGTTTTTCATGTGCTTTTTAAATTTTGTTTTTCTTTTGTATTTTTTTTCCTTTTCTGGAATTTGCATTTTAACACTGTGAACAAAGTAACCCTTTGAACTAAAAGGAAAAAGAGAAAGGACTGTCCAGTCACAGCTACCATTGGGCTATTTCCCTGCCTTGTCTAAAATTATTTGTGCTACCTGGTCAGTTCGTCATGCAGGAAGTTTACCTTTCCGCCTGGTGATCCGTCCCAACCGGGAAATCCTGATTCGCCCAGGACTCCCTGAATAACAATGACAGATGATTCAGAAGGAGAAGAACACTAGGTTTTATTCTCTCTTTTCTTCTGTATTTATTCATTTATTGAAAAAAACATTTCTTCTGCACGCTGCATAATAACATTTGAGCTGAGTGGTTGAACAGCAAACCAGCAAACCAGCCAACTCCTAATTGAAGACTCTGGAAAGACTCTTGTATACAGGAACTACTGCACGCTCATAAAAAATCAAGTTGAACCATCAATCAGCCTGAAAACCCCAATCAACCTCAACGTGACATTGGCGCCCTACATAGCCTTTATACTCCAAAGGTCCAGCAGAAGAACTAAAGGGTCTCAACTGCCTTTTGAAATTCTCAAATAATCTAGAGCAGAGGTCCCCAACCTTTTGGGCACCAGGGACCGGTTCCGTGGAGAAGGTTTTTTCGCGGACCAGAGGATGCGTGGTTTTGTGTGCTGCCTGCATCTTGCAGTTGGGATTTTGCTTGTTTGTGCGGACTGGTTGCTGGCATGCTACAGCCTGGTACCAGTCCACGGACTGGGGATTGGGGACCCCTGATCTAGAGAGTCCAATGGTCTGTCCAAAGCCTTGATAAAATAGCTTTTCCTTTAAAGCAGTGGTTCTCAACCTTTTTAATGCCGTGACCCCCAACCGGTCGTAAGTTGAGGACTAAACAACCAGTTGTAAGTTGAGGACTAAACCGGTCGTAAGTCAAGGACTATCCAACCGGTCGTAATTCGAGGACTTTCCTTGCCTGGGACCGCTGCGCATGTGTGGTGCTGCCCCCTGCACCGGCCGAGGCGTAGCTGGCAAGCGGCAGAGACGGCGCAGGCCGACCACCGGCTGGGCCACCAGCTGGCCCAGCCCAAGGGAGGTAAGGCACCCGCCGGGCCCCACGCGCACCAGCAACCCTCCCTGCGCCCGCCGGCCTCCCACCCCTGGCCCTCTTTTACTTACATTTTTAGTAGTTGCTCAGCAGGGAGGGGTGGAAGCTTCCAGACAGCTCGCCTTCGCTGCAGACAACTTGCAGCACTGTTTGCAGAACGGGGCTTTTGGCGGGCTCAGCAGGGCAGAGACAGCCTGGACAATTCCTATGGGCTTTTGAAAGCCAATAGAATTAGACTCTATTCAAGAGAGTCTATTCTATTGGCTTTCAAAAGCCAATAGAATAAAAGGGAGTAGCACAGCTAAGGAAAAGGGGGAAAAAAATGGTGGACTGCGTTGTTTGGCGACCCCCGTGAAATGGTCGTTCGACCCCAAATGGGGTCCCGACCCACAGGTTGAGAACCGCTGCTTTAAAGGATCAAGAGCTGGGATCTCCTGTATAAAACTAGGCATATTGTTCCAATGTTCTGCTGGACCTTACCCACTGTGGCATCAGCTGCTAGACAAATAAAGATGGGTTTGAACACATGACATACCTTTCTGCCTATGCTTCCTTCCGGTCCCCTCTGTCCCATGTCTCCCTAAAATGAAAGAAAATCAAATGTGCTGATGAGTTATGTGCTCCAGTTTGACACCTACAGGTTCCTCCCCTGGGTTCTGTCATACCCTAAGCCAGTGATGGCGAATCTTTTAGAGACCGAGTGCCCAAACTGCAACCCAAAACCCACTTATGTACCGTCGGGTGGTGGGTGGGCGTGTCCCATTGGGTAGGTGTGGTCAATTGGGTGGGCGTGGCCCATTGGGTGGGCGTGCCTGCGGTGGTAACGGCAGACTGGGTGGGACTAAAAAGTTCAATCAATCAATTCCAACTTTGCAAGATCTTTTTTTTTCCCCGCGAGAAGTTGAAATTGATTGATTGATTGAACTTTTTTTTTTTTTTTTTGCACACGGCGGCGGACGCCTTAAGAGAAAAGGTTTTATAAAACCCAGCTGAAGGCCTAGGACTGGGGCGACGCTGCGCGTGCCCACAGAGAGGGCTCTGAGTGCCCCCTGTGGCACACGTGCCATGGGTTCGCCACCATGGCCCTAAGCCATGTTTCCTAAGTCTTTGGGGGAGCCCGGCGTGCCTTCGAATGATTGCTAAGCAATTGGCCAACAGTTGAGGACTATCTGTACAAATATATTCCCAAGAGCGAGATTTTGTGAAGTTTCTTACCCTGGGTCCTGGTAAACCAGGGATGCCTTTTTCTCCCTTTTCTCCAAAGCTCCAGAAACCCTAAAGAGGACAGGAAAAAAACAACACAAAGATAAGACTGATGACTCCATGTCTTCATATAGGCTTAAACTTTTCTGGATGCCAGAGCTCGCTGCTTTGCAGTCTGATGCTCACATCTCCACTTCCATAGTTCTCCCAGAATGCAAGAGAGGCACAAAGCTATAAGTAAGTCAGCAGACACCATGTTTAGGATGAAAGGACTGGATGGGGATAAAAAAAACGATCATGCTAAATAATGAACAGTAGTATCAGGTGCGTGCACATTTAGCCGTGTCTGAGTCAACTCAAACATTTGAGTCCAACTGACTTAATTAAGCAGTTCACCAAAAGATCTGGATCAGCTCAAACTTATTTACCCAATTCATTCACATAGATTTAGATAACTTTTATTGTCATTTTTTCCTGTGGGCACAACGGCACACATTAAAAATGAAATTTCATTGCTTCCTCTCAAAGTGTACACATACATAACACACATTTAAAACGTACTATATACAACATATGTATAGACCCACATCCCTACATATACGTAGCAAATAAATATTAAATACTGTCCATCTTGAATATATAACGGAAGGCGGAAGCTTGAGAGTTCGCAAGGTTAATGCTGTATGGAATGAAACTATAGCTGAATCTGGATGTTCTGCTACGGATACCACGAAGCCCCCTCTTCCCAGAAGTTAACAAGGAAAACAAGTCGTGAAGAGGATGTGTAGTGTCCCAAATAATCTTGCGGACCCTGCTCAAGCAACGCTTATGTGCTATATCCTGGATGGAAGGGAAGGAACTGCCAATGATCTTTTCAGCCATCCTCACCACTCTCTGCACCGCCTTCCTGTCATGCATATTGGATTTTACATGATTTACACGGGTCTCTTGTGTAGCTGAAACCATCTGTAGCAGCATGAACCAGGCTGTAATGGATTATGGGCAAATAAGGGATGGCTATTCTGCAACATGATTTAACATCCAATATACTACTGTGGTTTAATGAGATACTTCTTAGAAGCGCACAAGTTGGACTCATAAGTCTAGAATCAATTGCCATTTCTTATCCCGTTTCCCAGCAAAGGATATCAAGGTCCATTGCCACCATACCACTGAGGTTTTAAATAACTGTCGTGACCATTGCATGGCTTAACCTCTGTCAAGATTATTGATCCTTTTTCCAAAACTGCCCACACTATGGCCATCATAATATCTTGTAGTCCTGAGTTCCATAAATCAATACATTATCTACGATATGATGTAAATAGGATATTGAATTAGACTCCCCAAATATTAAACTTGATGTTTTTATAAAGCCTGGGGATTCAGCAAAGTATATTATCTTATGTAAATGGAAAGAAATCCCTTGCTCTAGATCAGTGATGGCAAACCTTTTAGAGACCGAGTGCCCAAACTGCAACCCAAAACCCACTTATGCCTAGTCGAGTGCTGGATGGCTGTGGCCCATTGGGTGGGTGTGGCCCATTGGGTGGGTGTGGCCAATTGGGTGGGCATGGCTGCAGTGGTAAAAAGTTCAATCAATCAATTCCAACTTTGCAAGATCTTTTTTTTTCCCACGAGAAGTTGAAATTGACTAATTGATCGAACCTTATTTTTTTTTGCACACGGCAGCAGAGGCCTAAAGTGAAAAGGTTTTATAAAACCCAGCTGAAGGCCTAGGACTGGGGCGATGGCGCGCTTGCCCACAGAGAGGGCTCTGAGTGCCACCTCTGGCACCCTTGCCATAGGTTTGCCACCACTGCTCTAGGTGTTAGAAGAATGGATTCAAATGATAAGTTCTTTCCTAATCTTTGAAACATCCCTTTAGTGTTGCGTTAGAATTAACAAGTGCATCTTTATTTCATTAAAAAAAAAAAAAAAAGAATGGCAGCTTCATTGATGCTTCTCCAGAAAGGGAAAAAGTGCTTGGAAGTACAAACTGGAATAGAATCTAGGTTTCCAAAATACATATTCATGAAAGTAAAAAGTTATGGTAAAGGTTTCCCGTTCAGTTCTGTCTGACTCAAGGGCAGTGGTTCTCAACCTTTTTAATGCTGAGACCCATAACCGGTCGTAAGTCGAGGACTACTCAACTGGGGCAGCACCGTTTGCAGAATGGGACTTTCGGCGGGCTCAGCATGGCAGAGACAGCCTGGACAATTCCTATTGGCTTTTGAAAGCCAATAGAATTAGACTCTATTCAAGAGAGTCTATTCTATTGGCTTTCAAAAGCCAATAGAATAAAAGGGAGTAGCACAGCTAAGGAAAAAGGGGAAAAAATGGCGGACTGCGTTGTTTGGCGACCCCCGTGAAATGGTCGTTCGACCCCAAATGGGATCCCAACCCACAGGTTGAGAACCACTGCTCTAGGGTAAGTAAAAATATGCACATAGAGAAAAAGGCTGTGTTAATTGGAGGTGAGCTCACACACAATCAATGCCTTTATTATGCATGTTTCATCTTTTTATGTTCAAAATAAATTCAAGTAAGGTTTTATCTATCAGCTTGAATCGCTCTGTAAGTACACACCCCTGATGACATCGCTCTCCTGTTTGTCCTCCAACTCTATTTTTTTTAAAAAAATTTCTACATTACGATTCACCCAAAGGTTACATTAAAAAAGCACGCATCGTCTCCCTTAGATAGTAATGAACATCTCTGGAATACCAAACCATTGACAGAAACCCCCTAGTTGTGCACCTCTTATTTGGAGAAGAGGCTGCGCGCAAGCAATTTAACGACACAATTAGTAAACAATTTACTCCATGGTTGCAAAGTTTCCTAAAACAGTCTTTTCTTAGATTACAAAGACATTCGCAAATGTTTCGTAGGGGGTACAAAATTCATTGCCACCACCCAAGAAGGAACCAGAGAGCATGGGGGGTAGGCGGAAAGAGTCATTGTGCAGGATTTGTGCCAGATGCTAACAAGCTATAATAAAAACTTCTGTCTATATGAACTGTCATTGAAACCATCCTTCTGAACGAGAAGCATTTGTCAAAAATTCCAATTTACATTAGAGGGAATTTGTTTATGTGTAACAAAGGACTCAGAATAGAAACAAGCCAACAAATTATGCTTCCATTATTGCAATGAAATTGTACTAATACTGTAGGACTCATTATAAATGGCTTATTATCCCCATGTGGAAACCAAGCTCATACTCAGACAATGACGGGGTGATGGGAACAAGGAGAAGATAAATGTGTGGTGGGAACATGCTCAGATTCTGCTCTTTCTCCTTCTTCCACATGTTCAGAAGCAGCATGTTTGTTTGCTTCCATGTTTGTCAAACATGGCTTGATTCTAGATGAATGCCTGGGTTGGGTTGGGGTTTCTTTTGACTACATACCCCTTCCAACCTCTTCAAAGGGGAGATAGGTCAACAAAGGTTTTGTCTTGTGGATGAAACATCTTACCGGACGTCCAGGAGCTCCTGGTAGACCTGGAATTCCTTTGGGGCCAGGAACTCCCTGAAACAAACAAGTACAAAATCAAAACACTAAGTAATGTATCACTACTCAGCACTGTAAGATCTAGGTTTGATCATCCATTTTTACCTCTATGCATTTATCCCATAGATACATTGACATCCGAATTCTAAACTGTGGTTAACCATCACTGCCAATTTATATTGAGTCATCTTGTTAACATACAGCTTGAAGTTGCCTTGTTTCAAAATCGCTAAGACTCATCAGTTTGTTGAGTCTGAAAAACAGGGCAAGGGTATCTAATGTAGTGCAGGAATTGGGTATGTCTAGTTTGATGAAAAGAAGAACTAGGGCTGACATGATAGCAGTGTTCCAATATCTCAGGGGTTGCCACAAAGAAGAGGGGGGTCAACCTATTCTCCAAAGCACCTGAAAGCAAGGCAGGAAACAATGGATGGAAACGAATCAAGGAGAGAGCCAACTTAGAAATAAGGAGAAACATCCTGACAGTGAGAACAATTAACCAGTGGAACAGCTTGCTTCCAGAGGCTGTGGATGCTCCATCTCTGGAGGATTTCAAGAAAAGATTGTCCAGAATGATATGAAGTCTCCTGCCTTGGGACCAGAAGACACCAATGTCCCTTCCTATTCTATTCTTCTGTTATCTAGTACTGAAACAAAAGTTCTCACTCTCTCTTGCTGGGGAAGATAAAGTGTGGTTTGCCATTAGGTATATCCAAAGCAACATGATGAAGTCAAAGAGCTGAGATTGGTTAACTTAAGACAACTGGCTTATTGGACACATTGTACATGGTACAAATCAAAAGCTACCATTTGAGTGCCTGTCGAGTGTTTCTTTAAGAGATTACATCTTCCACCTGAGTAAGCATAATTTCACCACCCAGAGATTTAGCTGAAAAACAGTTTGGTATGTCAACATTTCCATGGTAATGATTACAACCTTGGGCATCCTTTGGATTGCCTCTTGTCTCGGGAAAGTTGACATTCTCAGTGACAAACATTCAAGAGTCCTACTCTTTCAAGAGTAAACATTCAGGATTCTTCAGGGTGGGGGAAACGGTGTTGGAAATCATTGATCAAAGTCTGCAGAAATTAGACCTTAAATGAGTTAATCATCTACCGAGATAAAGAAATATCCAAGACTGGCTTAAATCGCTTTCTTTTTTCTTCTTCTGGGTTTTTTTTGAAAGGGAGAATAATCACTTTTCTAAACAGACTGAAAATAATTTTAATTGTTGAGAGGCTTCTGGTACATTCTCTTATCTTCGCTTTTTCCCCAGAGAAAGAAGGATTGGGAGGATATACCTAAATTCTTAAGCAAATTCCTACTTTTTGTTAACAAAGAAGAATGTGTTGAATTTACTGATTCTACAAGGAGTTAATCTAGGTTCTGACCCTGAATTTCCAATTAATTAGTTGTGCTATCTTTTAAATAACAGCCCAAATCACTACAGTATCAAAGTTCAGAGAAGTCAAGCCTGTAATTTCATTTAAGCCACATTTTAAATTTTCCAGGAACAGACATTCCATACCACACCTACACACGAATTTATTCCATTAGTGAATGACAAATGTATCCAGGCATATGAATGTTTTCCTAGATTAGAGTCTGCTTCAAAAAACAAAACAGACCTTAGCCTGCCAAAGCTTATATCATAATAAATTAATTGCTGTTGCCCTGTGCTCAGCCATGAATAAATCTGCCTCATTTGATAGCTTCAACTTTCATACAGTACTTTCTGATGCACGCTTTCCAACCATTTTTTGCGCAAGTTTGCAAATACTGAGCTGAAAAGCAAGGAGGAACATTTGTGGGCTTGTGTATACTAGGGTTTCTCTGAATGTACAGTGTGTGTTTATATTTTCTCCTAACACATGAGTTTTTGCATACATTTCCCTGGATGTTCATTTATTATATCCTAGAGTGGAATTCAGAGCTACATTATAGAATTTAGAAAAGTGGGGAGACTGGGGGAAAAAAAAACAACCGGTTTATTAATCTTGACTGTGCCAGTTCTCATTAAAATACGTACTATACTTGTCCTTTATAGCAGGGGTGGGCAACTATGGCCCCTTTACAACCTAAGTACTTCAAATGCCAGAATTCCTGAGCCAGCAAGTTCCCAGGTCATGAAGGGACCATAGTTGCCCATCCTGCTATATAGGACAGTTCTCATTTAGCGACTGCCTCAGATTGTAACCGATTGCAGTTATTACGGTGATTAAAAAAGTAACTTTGCAACCAATGTCTGCATTTATGACCTTCACATTTTTTTTCTCCACCTTCCTGGAGAATTTGCTTAAAGAAGCTGTCTCTGAGAGGATGTTCTCTGAGCTTGATAGTCAAGGCCATGGTTTTCCCAGTTGCAATGTATGGCTGTGAAAGTTGGACCATAAAAAAGGCGGAGCGCCAAAGAATTGAGGCCTTTGAACTATGGTCCTGGAGAAGACTCACTCCTGCGAGTCCCCTGGACTGTAAGGCAATCCAACCGGTCAGTCCTAGAGGAGATCAACCCTGACTGCTCTTTAGAAGGCCAGATCCTGAAGTTGAAACTCAAGTACTTTGGCCACCTAATGAGAAGGAAGGACTCACTGGAGAAGAGTCTAATGCTGGGAAAGATGGAGGGCAATAGAAGAAGGGGACGACAGAGAATGAGGTGGCTGGAGGGAGTCACTGAAGCAGGAGGCGTGAGCTAAAATGGATTCCAGAAGATGGTAGAGGACAGGAAGGCCTGAAGGAACGTTGTCCATGGGGTCACGATGGGTTGGACACGACTTCGCAACTAACAACAAAAGGTAACATCATCAGTGATATTCGCCACTATTGCAAATAATATGGATACGTTCATCAAGTCATCAAGAAGACATCCTGATCCAAAGGAGATTTTCATTCCCAGCAGCCTACCTGGCCTTGGCTGATCTCATAATACTAATCAGATTAAGACCTGGAGATATTTTGATGGGGAACTTCTTAGGCAGCACTACATTATATGGAGAAATTGAAAAAACAGGTCTCCAAAAAAGGTAATGTCCAATCTTTTCTACATTATTGCCAAAAACCCTGATTTGTTGATGAAACGATGAGAAATCAAACCTGATGTTCAGCCTCGTTTTTTAAAAACATTTTATTCAGAGTTTACCAATTGTTAAGGGCAAACCTTTGCTCCTCGCTGTCCTTTGGACACTCCAACATATTCTTCTGTCCCTGTGGAAGATGGAGGGCCTGCTAGTCCTGGCAATCCCACATCTCCCTAATTGGAAAACATAGAAATGTTAGTATTTTTAATTGTAATATATTTTTTTAATCATTTACTGAGATGGGTGGCTATAGAAATTGAATGAGAGCGAGAAAGAGAAAGAAAGAAAGAAAGAAAGAAAGAAAGAAAGAAAGAAAGAAAGAAAGAAAGAAAGAACTCTTAAAAAGCAATTAGGTGGCTCATGCCTTCGTCACCACTCCTGTAGACCAAGCTTCTCAACCTCAACAATTTTGAAATGTCCTGGTTGGGGAATTCTGGGAGTTGAAATCCACGTATGTTATATTGAGGATGAGAAACACTGCTCTAGACTACAGCAGGGTGCTCTTCATGGGGTGGTCTTTAAAGACTATTTGGTATCTTCAGGTGGTACAAAATGCAGTGGCCCAGCTCCTTCTAGGTCAGTGTTTCTCAATCTTGAGAGCTCGAAGATATGTGGACTTCAATTCCCAGAATTCCCCAGCCAGCTTGGCTGGCTGGGGAATTCTGGGTGTTGAAGTCTACATATCTTCAAGTTCTCAAGGTTGAGAAACACTGTTCTAGGTGCATGCTGGAAAGGTGCATGTTATATCTATTTTTCAGGCCCTGCCTTGGATTCTTAGTGTCCTAGAGCCATTTAAAGTGCTGATTTTCATCTAAAAGGCACTTTATAGCTTGGCTCACTCAAGAACTCCATCTTCCCCCTGGAGTCAACCCAACCCTTTCGGTTATGCTGGGAGAAGCAGCTGGTTGTCCCCTTTTTTTTCAGGAGGTCAAGGGGTCAAAGCCTGGAGGGATTGTTTATAATTGAGCTGGTTCTCTAGAACATTTCCCACAAGATGTTTGATGGGCTCTAATGTCCATCACTTCCAAAAGAGTTGAAAACGAAGCTTTTTTGGAGAACATTTTGGAAGCTGATACCAATTTTGGAACTTGTAAGTTGCAAGCAGTGAACAAAAAAAAACCAAGCCTCTTCTCCATTGCCCAGTTCTGTTCTTGACATGCAGCTTGTTTCCATCGCAAGAACTTGAACAAATGGCCAATGTCTGGAAGAATAGGTAACCGATCTTTTTAATTTCGCAGTGATCTGAGAAAAAGACATTTGGTGTCCTACTGCAAAACCAAAATGCACACCACTACTTACTTTTTCTCCTTTTTCTCCCTGGAAAACTAGATTGCTACTGCCCTGCAAAATAACAAAAAATAAACATCAAATCATTGTGATTTCTCCCCCCCCCCCAAAAAATGGGACAATTGAAACATAGAAGCATCCAAATAAGAGTCAAAAGAAATGCTCAATGGAATTAAAACTTGTTTTCTTATATCTGTCTTCCAAAAGTGATCATCAGCATTCACTGTTTGGAAAAAAATAATAATGGTTTCGTATTGGTTCTGGTAATCCAACCTGGGTCTATGAGGAATGAGAGCTAATTGTTTGGGTTCAAAGGATTAAAACGCTTCTCTTTTCTCACACTAATTACATTAGCTTGATGTCATACCAAAAGCACTTGGACACAACAGGAATGGACAGAATCTCATTAGATAGGAAGAGCTGCATTACTTGGAATAATGCATATCTAAGATCCAGTTTAGGTAATTCTCATGACCACATGACCTGGGAAGGAAAGCTATGGCAAATCTAGACAGCATACTAAAAAGCAGAGATGTCACCCTGCCAACAAAAGTACATATAGTCAAGGCCATAGTTTTCCCAGTTGCAATGTATGGCTGTGAAAGATGGACCATAAGAAAGGTCCAAAGAGCGCCAAAGAATTGAGGCCTTTGAATTATGGTGCTGGAGAAGACTCCTAATGTTTATCAGTAAGAAAACAGTACAATTTCTTTGATGGATGGGGAAAGCAGAACGCAGGGAAACGATCAAACAATACTTACCACAGGTCCCGGGGGACCTGGGAAACCTGGTGGTCCCTAAATTGGAAGAAAAGAATATTAATCAGATGTTGCACTTGAGAAAAAAAATGCCAATTTATGCGTGGAGCAAATAAATAAAAAGAGGGAGCTGTTGTTAAAAAATGAAAGGGTAACAGCTCCTTAAATATCCAAAGTTGTTCACGGTGCAATATTATTTAGGAAGCAAAGAGACAGATGAATTACTCAGTAATAAATGAGAGCAGTTAGCTTATGCCAGATCCTCCCTTGCATGAGGTAAGAATCTCACTCCTACATCTTCTCCTGGGCTGATGCCCTTATATTTAATATTTAAGCAAAAAGATATTTAAAAAGGGCAGATGCATCCCACCCAACTAGATCAGAAACGAAAGGAGGTGGAGTTAAATCCTTGCCCACCTTGTCATTCGGCTTCCCAAACAAGAGAATAATCTGGATTAGGGCAGTCTCCTAAGAGACTGATCAGAACAATAGAATAACAGAGTTGGAAGGGACCTTGGAGGTCTTCTAGTCCAACCCCCTGCTCAGGCAGGAAACCCTATACCATCTCAGACAAATGGCCATCCAGTCTCTTCTTAAAAACTTCCACTGTTGGAGCATTCACAACTTCTGGAAGCAAGTTGCTCCACTGATTACTTGTTCCCACTGCCAGGAAATTTCTCCTTAGTTCTTGGTTGCTTTCCTTCTGGATGACGTTTCACCCATTGCTTCTTGTGTTGCCTTCAGGTGCTTTGGAAAACAGGTTGACCCCCTCTTCTTTGTAACAGCCCCTCCAAATATTGGTACGCAGCTATCATGTCACTCCTAGTCTTCCTTTTCACTAGACTAGACCTGCCCAATTCCTACCACCGTTCTTTGTTCTTTGCAAATATTATGCAAACTGCTCACATATTCCAACGGTACAGAGCACTGAGATTTCAGCTCCTTTGAGCTGGAAAGGAGCTGGGCAGGTAAGAAATTCCTGGTTCTCGGTCCCTGACCACTTTCTCATTAATGGCCCTTGTGTATTACCATGATGATGTAATGGTATGTGGAAATGACCTTGGGAGAAAGAAGAGAAAGCCGCAGACTGGACAACAGGTACGTACAGGTAGTCCTTGATTTACGACTGAAATTTCCATTGCTAAGCATGACAGCTGTTAAGTGAGTTCTGCCCCATTTTACAACCTTTCTTGCCACAGACAGTGATAGCACTTAGCACTTAGACTTATATACCGCTTCATAGTGCTTTGCAGCCTTCTCTGAGCATTTTACAGAGTCAGCATATGGCCCCCAACAATCTGTGTCCTCATTTTACCAACCTTGGAAGGATGGAAGGCTGAGTCAACCTTGAGCCGGTCAGGATCAAACTGCTGGCAGTCGGCAGTCAGCAGAATTAGCCCGCAGTACTGCCTGCTAACCACTGCGCCACCAGTTGTTAAATAAATCCTTGAAATTGTTAAGTTAGCAACACCGCTGTGAAGTGAATCTGCCTTCCCCCACTGACCGTTTGTCAGAAGGTCGCAAATAGCGGGTCACATCACCCTGGGACACCGGAACCGTCATAAATACGAACCAGTTGCCAAGCATCTGAATTTTGACCACGTGACCAGAGGGATGCTGCAATGGTCGTAAGTGTGAACAATCGTCACGTTATTTTTTTGAGTGCCATCGTAACTCTGAACGGTCGCTAAAGGAATGCGCGTAAGTTGAGGACTTCCTGTAAATGCTTTCTCAGCCCACAGACAAAGGGGAGGCGTGGGAAGCATTTCAGAAGAGACCCTCCCTCGTTTTCAGGAGAGTAAAAAGGAGAGGAGGGGAGAAATCCTTTCAACCTTGTAAGATTCTATTCAGGTAACCTTTACAATAAAGACAGTTAGTGTTCGTAGTTCTGCCTCTTGACTGGACTCACTCGAAGGGTCAACAGAGCTAATAAAGTAAGCCAACATCTGTCAGACCACAAATACTGTAGATAACAATCACTTGCTATTTCCTATATTCCCAACTGGCTACAATGGCGGATTATTCAGGGTATCATTAATAACAAAATAAAGAGGAGGACTTACCGGAAATCCAGGTAGCCCGATGGGGCCAGCAGGGCCTGGTCGACCTGGAAAACCTTTCGGTCCCTGTTAGGAAGGACAACAAAGTCAAGAAAGCAGCTTCAGTGGGTCACGTGTCCTGCTCACCTCCAAATGAGTCGATTCTCTTCAGGCATCTGCCTGCTGCCAGATTGGTAAGTCAAACTCATCACAGGGTCCTAAACGCGATAATCATGTGGAATGCAAAACCAGATATCGTTCTGGTTATTAGCTTGATTACTTCCACGGTAAGAGGGGGTCTCCTGGAGTGCAGAATCCCAAGAGGAAGATGTAAAACTCCCCCGTAGGATAGAAAACACTATGCGAAAAGTAGAAATACATTTCAGCATTTCTGTTTATTTGCAAAGGCCAAAAGCCAGACAAGAAAAAGGTTTGCTCTGGATGTAAGAAGCTGATTTGTGTGTGTGGGGGGGGGTTCCCCCTTTTCTTCCCTCTTGATTCTCCCTTGTATCCTTCTTTCCCATCCCATTAGCTTTTCTTTCAGCTAAACCCTGTCCTATATAAGGAATGTATAAGAGGCTGAGGGGCTGGAGGGTCTTTGTCATGGAGGGCAGTTGGACAGCTAGAAGCTGATAGATCTGTCTATCTATCTATCATCTATCTTATCCATCCCCCCTCTCTCTCTCTCTCTCTCTCTCTCTCTCTCTCTCTCTCTCTCTCATCCATCCTATCTCTCTCTCTAACTTATCCATCATCTCTCTATCTCTCTATCTATCTCAATTCTGTTTATCTATCTATCTATCATCTGTCTGTCTGTCTATCTATCTATCTATCTATCTATCTCAATTCTGTTTGTCTATCTATCTATCTATCTATCTATCATCGGTCTGTCTATCTATCTATCTATCTATCTATCTATCTATCTATCTATCTATCTATCTATCTATCTATCTATCTAATGTCTTTCCATTCTATCCATCCCCCTCCTCTCTTTTTAACTAGCTATTTCTGGGAACCACTCCCCCCCAAAAGGATGCAGCAGACTTAAATCAGAAATTCATGGAAAATCCACAATAGGAAAAATGCTAGCCGTAAACACACGGCTCTCGTGCTACCTGTGGTGAGGGCAAGTGGTACCTCAGACAGCATCTTTTATGCCATAGTGATATGGCACACATGACAGCCTTGTGCCTTGCACTAGACACCTGTGTTTGTTGAATCTCCCTCTTCTAACAAGAAAGCTATTGTTTGTCTTTCTACCACACACAGTGTGGAACTCTGCAGGGGAATGTTGGACTGTATTCCTAATTGTAGTATTTCCTCTCTGCAAACAGTTCAGTGGGTTCTGTGAGTTTTGTAAAGATTAAACAGCAGTTAAGACAAATAAAACAATCCGTGTTTAACTCATTTGGTTATTTCCCCCTACCTCAGGAAATCAAGTCTATTTCCCTCCTCATAAGAAATCTATAATGTGAGTTGTGGTTGTGACAAGCTGAGTCACCTAATGAGCTTCCACGGCTGAGGGCAGATTTGGGACGAAGGTTTTTCTAAGGCTAGTTCAATACCTTGATGCTGGAAGCAAAGTTGAAACGTCCGTTCTCTTTACTAATTGAGTTTTGCCAAAAATAATGCAACACACAAGCAAGGAAAACAGAAATTACAAGGGAAGTGAACTTACAATAGCACCATCCAGTCCAGGAAGACCACTTTCTCCCTAATAATAACATAAAAACACAGCAAGCACTGAGATGAAACATAAATCAGATTGGCAGGGAAATGCTAGTATAGAAAAATGTTCCTTGTTAAAAAAAAAAAAGTAGGGATCACAACATGCACATTACACAAGTTACTTTTTTGTCACCCTTAAGGATAGATAAGAGGGACACAGAGAAGTGTTTTTTTTTAAAAAAAAAATTGTGGGAGACAGATAGCTTCCCCATCAAAAATTTAAATGCAATCTTTGTAGTTATTACTAGAATGTCTTGAGTGTGGATTTAATGGGATAGTCAAAATGTTGGCCAAAAACCCCCAAACGTTTGATTGAAAATGAATTAAGATGATTTAAAAAAAATCAAGCTAGATCAGGCACATTTTGGGTGCCAACAGTGGCTAAAAACATCTGGGCAGATTGTCCCAGAGATACTTTCGTTCGAAAGGCGATTGGGCATTTTTGTTTTGCTTGAAGAGATTTTGGTTCTCATCCAAAAAGATTCTTCAGTTTTGACATCTGACCTCTTCAAGCAAAACAAGAAAGTTCACCAGCCTTTTGAAAGACAGCAGCTTTGAGAGAAGCAAGACCTGAATGACTGAGGATTTCCACAGATATCTGAGCAGCTTCCAACTTAAGATAGGAAGTTGGTTGCTTTCTTCTACCGTTGAGCTCCAGCAGCTGGCATTCAAAGGGTATATGCATGTGTTGAATTTAAAAAATGACTCCTTTTATCAATCGTCATTTTTAAAATTCTTCGCTTCCATGATTGATCTGACATCTCATAATCAAATTTATTTCATTATGGTCAATGACCAGCAAGGAGGTCTTACATTTCTAAAGCCAATTCCTCAAACGTGGGCACAATCTTTTCGAAGCTGTCTTCATTCTCCCGAAAGAAAATTTAAAATTTAATTTTAATTGCTTAGACATGCTTCCTGCTACAGTTCCCTTATCTGGACATTTCTTACCTTCACTCCTTTAAAAATTCCCGGGGCATAAAAAGGTTCACCTTTTGGGCCTTTAGGACCAGGACGACCCTGGATAGAAAAGTTAAGATAACAAGAGTAAAAGATATCCTTTAGCAAAAATCAATGTAAAAAGATAGAGTAAATTATGATAAATGCACTCTTGGAAGATCAGAAGGACCAGTTAGGAATAGACTGTCATGGAGGTAAAAATCTATCTAGGCCAGGGGTGTCAAACTAGCCATGACATTGTGCAATGTATCGGGCCAGTTTTGCCATTGCCGGCAATGGGGTGGGCATGGCTTCAGTATGATGAAACCGGCCGGTGGGCTGACAGTTTGACACCCCTGATCTAGGTGGATTTCCATGAGATGACATCAGCTTTATGCCACATAATCAATCAACTCAACCCAATCCAGCCCAACCAATCAACCAGATATACATTGAAGACTTTATATGTCATCTCTTATGTGAGAATGTGTTTCTTGGAAGGCCATCGTAGTATTGGCTCTCTGAAGATAGACTATGCTACACACATTACCGAATAAGTGCCACTAATATATGATTCAGATAACATTTTAAGCCATAACACACCTTGAATTTAGGATAGCTTGTTTACATTTTATTTAAGCAAACTTAAAACCAGCCATTGTTGTTTAAATCCAGCTATTGTAGTCTACCAACCATATATCACGGCTTAGAATACTGCTGGTTATTTATAGTTGGATTCTGGCTTGCTGTAATGTATAAATCTACCCACTACCATGGTGGGACTTCCCCAAAGAGGGTGGCATCTATGAAGTATCTCTAGATAACCATCTGCCTCTCAAGATAGTAAAGAGTTGACGTGATGTAATGTGATATCGGTCTATGACTTTTTGCTTGGTTGCTAAAAAAGGGAAAGAATTAGATTCGCCCAAATCTTTTCATCACTTTATTCTAGGAACATTTATAAAGAATCATTCCTAGGAGTAACTGTTTAAGTTGAAGTCTAGAGATCTTAAAGCCACCAAGGTTGAGAAACATAGATATAAGATATCCAGACCTCTTTCCCAACCAGCTATCTCAACCTAGGACAAAAGCTATATCAAGAAATACCGGTGGTCCTTGGAGACCAGGCAATCCATCTGACCCGGAGGTACCAGGACTTCCAATGGTACCATTACAGCCATCTAAACCAGGAAGACCTCTGGATCCTGGCTGACCGGGATGTCCCTGTTCAAGGGGAAAAAAAGAAGCAAAAATTAATATTTCTTAATCACGTCTTAATTTTTAAAGAATGCACAAAAATGGACTTGCCTAGAAGGACATTTATTTATATTTGCATACCTGAGCTTGATAACACCAGACACACGTTTTTTACACATTTACTCCATACCCATGTGTCGAATGCTTTACACCAGTGGTTCTCAACCTTTTTAATGCCGTGATGACCAACTGGTCGTAAGTCGAGGACTACTCAACCGGTCGTAAGTCGAGGACTACTCAACTGGTCCAGCACCGTTTGCAGAATGGGACTTTTGGCGGCTCAGCAGGGCAGAGACAGCCTGGACAATTCCTATTGGCTTTTGAAAGCCAATAGAATTAGACTCTATTCAAGAGAGTCTATTCTATTGGCTTTCAAAAGCCAATAGAATAAAAGGGAGTAGCACAGCTAAGAAAAAGGGGAAAAAAATGGCGACTGCGTTGTTTGGCGACCCCCATGAAATGGTTGTTCGACCCCAAATGGGGTCCCGACCCACAGGTTGAGAACCACTGCTTTACACATTTACTCAGCTGTAGAAGCTGCAAAGATTTATTGCGTTTATTGTGTTTATTTATGAGCCCAGTCAGCTCGCAAGCTTTCAATAGCCCCATTTCCCCCCCCCCCATTAAATGCCAACAACCTTATCCAAATATTTAGGGCACCCTGACCATTATTTATTCTTCCAAATGTTATCATCTTCCTGAGAAAAAAAAGGCTAAAGTAATAAATAAAAATAATTCCTCATTTTCTAAAGAATGCATAGCCATGTAAATAGTTCACGCAAAGTACATTTGTTTATATTTGCATGTCTGAACCTGATAACCCTACATGTTGGATTATTGAGATGCTTAATCAGTTTTGAGGCTCTGGTGTGATCCCACTAAAAAGTTCACAAAATTACATTCCTGATAATGTGTTCCTAATAAAGGGTTGTCCTGACAATCTGTGTACATGGACAGAACAAGACTGGCTGTTCTTACATCTCTGTGCAGTTTTGGCCACTTGCTGAAGAACAAAACAGCAGATGGCAGCAGAAATAGCTGCACAGAGAGGAGGCTTACATTGCAGCTTTGAATTCGGACTATAAAACAAAATGAGGAAGGAAGGGTGTGTGTGTGAAAAATATGGCTAATGTTTAAGCTACGTTCTGCAGGGATTGGAGATTTTGATAGCATTTTTCCAAGAGGCGGCTTAGTCTTTTGCCATCACACAAAAACACAGAGCTTTGTGGCAACTTTAATCCTCTTCAGTGCATCCAAATAGAATAGAATTCTTTATTGGTCAAGTGTGATTGGACAGACAAGGAATTTGTGTGTCAGGAAATAATAGAATAACAGAGTGGGAAGGGACCTTGGAGATCTTCTAGTCTAACCCCCCCTGCTCAGGCAGGAAACCCTACACCATTTCAGACAAATGGCTGTCCAAACTCTTCTTAAAAACTTCCATTGTTGGAGCATTCACAGCTTCTGGAGGCAAATCGTTCCACTGGTTAATTGTTCTGTCAGGAAGTTTCTCCTTAGTTCTAGGTTGCTTCTCTCTTTGGTTAGTTTCCATCCATTGCTCTTTGTCCTGCCTTTGGAAAATAGCTTGACTCCCTCTTCTTTGTGGCAGCCCTTGAGATACTGGAACATGGCTAACATATCACCCCTATTCCTTCTTTTCATTAAACTAGATTACCCAAATATTTGTGGATGAAGCCTATTTCATGAGATGAATGTAAATCCCTGAAAGTGATTCTATGCTCATAAATGTTTAGGGGATGAGGGAAGAAAAAGAAAGTATACCGAAGGACAGGTGACACCAGGCAGAATTATTTTGATTGTCAAGTGGCATGGAAGCCAAAGGGCTTCAGTAATGGACTTTTAACATAAATCACACTTCGGTATGTCTTGGGAGACCCAGAAGAATTATCTTCCGGCATGTAAATGGGTTCTATCAAATGTGGGAGTGTTAGCTAATCACTTGCCTCTCTTCCAGCTATGCGCTGATATTTCCAATGCATCATTTGCCAAATAATGTGGCACACTGGCACAAATATATTTTAATTATTTATTTACATATTAAACATCTTAATCGACACACACACACACACATCTTCCTCATAGAAGTTGAGAAGAAGGTTGAGTGAACAGGGAGGTCTCCCATTGGCGCTGAGGGGTTCCGCTGGATGGACGTGAAGATGTTTTCAAAAACATTTAGAATTTATCAGCTGAAAACATACACAAGAGAGGAATTCCACTGAGAACAGGATAAATGAGACTCAGCAGATACGGGACTATCCGAGAACGTTTATGGAGATTCTCAATCGTTCCGATCATAGTTGTCCCAAAGGTGCTTTTTCAAAAGGCAAATGAACTTTCTTGGTTTTTCCCTTGAAAACATTTCGGTTCTCCTCCAAGGACTCACCAGAACTGAAGAAGCTTCTCGGATGAGAAGCGAAACATTTTCAAGGACAAAAAACCAAGAGAGTCCAGTTGCCTTTTAAAAAAGCACCTTTGGGATGACTATTCGAGAATTCTCACCTTGCACGATTTATACATTTGCTCAGTTATAGAAACTGGAAGGATTTATTATGTTGCTAAGTAGCTTAAGGTTGATGTATGAGCTCAGTCAACCCCCAGGTTTGCAGTAACTCCAAATGTATTCTTTCTCTATTAAATGCCAACAAACCTATCCAAATATTTAGGGCACTTCGACTGTTCTTTATTCTTTGAAATGTCATCATCATCATAAAGCAAGTGAAGAACATTTTACCCAAACAGCTTTTTCACGTAAGAAGCTTAAGTGGTAGATCTATCTGTTTAGGTAAGAATCTTGGTATGAAACTCCAGGGGATGAATGTCATCAGCACAAATTATGTATTTAATTGCAATGGCCTAACGCCAGACCTGGAACTGAAATCATTTTATTGTGGTGATCACGGACCAACACATTTCTGATTTTTTTTAAAAAAGATTTTTTTTGATTAAAAATAAATAGTATAAAATAATAAAATGGAAGCTGCTCAGCTACCAAGTGTCAGTCACACTCACCATGGAAAATAGCGCCTGGCGTGAATTAAGCACTTCCAAATGTGCCCACCACTTTTCAAATATGGTTGTTATCATTTTTAAAAACAAGCCTGAAAGGAATTTCTTTGACTAGACAATTAATGTGCAACAATTCAAAGAGCACCGCCCAAAAGATAAGATAAGATGAAGAGAAGAGAAGAGAAGAGATAACCTTGTCATTTTTTTTACTGTGGGCACAACGGCACATATCGAAAAATGAAATTTAGTCGCCCGCTCTCAAAGTGAAACACATACATGATTCACACCTATATTATATACAACATATTTATAGACCTACACCCATATTTATAGACTCACACCTAAACATACTATATACAACATATTTATAGACCCACATATACGTAACAAATAAATATTAAATACTGTCCATCTTGAATATATAACGGAAGGAGGAAGCTTGAGAGTTCACAAGGTTGATGTATGGAATGAAACTATGGCTGAATCTGGATGCTCTGCTATGGATATCATGAAGCCTCCTCCCAGAAGGTAGAAAGGATGATGATGATGTAGGGGAAGGAAGGAAGGAAGGAAGGAAGGAAGGAAGGAAGGAAGGAAGGAAGGAAGGAAGGAAGGAAGGAAGGAAGGAAATAGGCAGGCAGAAAGGTTTGCAGCAACAAAACACTCATTAATGTACCAATAAAGAGAATATTTGTAGCCCAGGGTTGAAATGGATTCTTGGTGCTCTCAGAGCTAGGTAAGTGAGAGAGAGGGGGAGAGAGCAAACTCAGAGAACACCAAGAATCACTCATTAAGGTCTTTAAAACTTTTATCTGGTGGGAAACCAGCTGTTCCCCCTCCCCTTGTAGAATGTGATCCTTGCCATGCAAGTAGAAGTTAAGTGTGTCCCTTGAACTGAGTAGGCTTCATGCACCCTGCCTGAAGACTTAATCCTATAAAGGAAAAAAATGTAAATATATTACTGTACAAATCTCTGCATTAATTCCTTGTTTGGGGCTTGGTGGTAAAGTATCTTATGTCAACAAAGCATCTTGTAATAAAACACAAGCCGGTGACCCACGACAACTCAAAGCTAACATCTGCTGTCCTTCATTCATTTATTTATGTATTTAGTTTTATAGCCAGAAGGTTGAAGTTATCTCCTGGGGAACCAGCTAATCCGGTAGAAATAAGTTTGTAAAGGGAATCCAGCAGTCCCAAACCTAAGCAGATAATTAGATAAGACTACAGAGGATTTATGGATGAAATGATCTTCTTCTTTCACATCCCTGTAAACATCCAGGAGCCACTTTCTTATACTCCGAGTTTGTTGCTCAGAGTTTCAGAGTATAAAGATCAGCGCTACTTCTAAGGTGATGGTACATCTCTCTTCCTTGTATATGGAGATTCTCAGTCATCCAGGTTGTCCCAAAGGTGTTTTTTCAAAAAGGCAACTGGACTTTCTTGTTTTCCCTTGAAGACGTTTCGCTTCTCATCCAAGAAGCTTCTTCAGTTCTGACTGAATGGTGGAGTATAAATCCTTCCATCCTCCATCGTTCAGTCAGGACTGAAGAAGCTTCTTGGATGAGAAGCGAATTGGTCTTCAAGGAAAAAACAAAGTCCAGCTGCCTTTTGAAAAAGCATCTTTGGGACATCTCCCTTCATTCAATATGGCTGAAGAGCACAATTTTCCAGGCTAACGGCCCCGCCTGACTCTTGAATGATGTACTGGGATCGCACTGTCAAAAGTCAACTCAAATTTCCTTTTAAAATGAAAAGTCAATGCTATTCACATGATGATGATGATCCATCCACGCCTCATTAATGTTTATTTCGTGAATGAAGAAAAAAAGCAGGGCTATGCTTCTCTCTCTGAAGGTCAGTATGACAGGGATCCAGTCTTCCATTTTATTGATTATCTGAAGAACTGCTCTCCCCTGTTACATCTACCCAGGGGGTGT